AAATCTAAAGTGCAGCAATGAAAAAAAAAAGTTTGCCACTGGCTAACAGTAACATTCCTCATATTATTCAAAGATGATTAAGAAAATGACTGTAAAATGTTCCTGTGTTAAGACTGCATGAAAGGAGCAATGTGATGATCAGTTCTTCATGTTTAGATCTGCAAATATGTCTAATGCAGCTGAAGTCCATTGGTGCAATTTATAAGGACATACAGTTGTAGCTTTGTGTACAGTTATGGCTTCGGACTCCTAACCGGAGAGCTGTGAATTCACGTCCACACTGTAGACTATAGGCATACTGTATAATCTAAGGCATGATGATTAGAACTACCAAACCGAACCCCCAGCGTTTGATTGTTTTGGGGTGCCTCTCTGCCTGGAGTTTGAATGATCTTCACATACTTGAGTGCATTGTTGCTGAATACCCCAGCTTCCTCCTACTCTCAAAAGAAAGCCATGCAAGCTGGGGTTGATTTGGATTGGCTACTGTAATTGTCCCTTTCCAAAGGGGTTTCTAGGGAATTCAAGGGCACCATCCTTGGAGGTTGTTCCCTGTAAGACTCGTATTATTCATGGGACAGTGGTGAAAAGGGCAAAATGAGCATGACGAGCTAAAGGCATCTTTACGTTTGTGCCCTTTATGATGCCTAATAGTACCTGTCAGAAAAGGTTAATTACACGTGGCAGAACCGCAGGCCATGAACAAAGCACTTCCACATAGAATTTATTCACCTTGAAGAAGGCGAGGGTGGAGGAAGTTCGCAGTGTTCCGTACTCAATGACATCCTGCTTGGCCAGGTCCTCGAAGCTCCCGATGGAGAACTGGGTGGTGTCTGAGCCCAGCATGGAGCTGAAGTTGGCAATGTAAGAAGCCAGGAGCACTACTGTGAACAGCCACCAGATGGTGCTGATAACTCGCACAGACAAGGCTTTTGGCTGTGGCCCTGCACCTGATAACCAAAAAACAAATAATGCCTTTAAATTTCTAAAAAACAAACACTTGACGCACAACTTCTAAAATGTACTGTGCAAGTTAACTTAAAATACACTTCTGAGCAATTTTTATAGTTTCACGCTTCTTCATTCTATTTTTATAGGTTGATTTTTAAAATATCCACACATCAGTAACACTTGAGAAAACACATTTTTAATTGCACATTGTACAATAATTCATTGTGAATTATACTGACAGACATAAAAGCAGAATGTTTTCCCTCTGTCAATATACATGTGTACAGTAAATTAAATACATATTTCTTAATGTTTTATCTAAGCTCACCACAAAATGTGCTAACACTATCTTTTCCTGTTTCATTTCCAGGTGAAATTCAGTTGTATACCTCTGTCTTAAAGTCTTGGGTAAAGGAAAAGGTTCCTTTAGAGAAGCAGAAATAATGAGCCAAAAACTTAAGGTGAAAAGATAGTTAAAAGAAAAGTATATTATAGCCCTTAGGAGGCTCTTTCATCTCTCGCAGTACAGGTAGAAAGGTATCAGCAGTTTTCAGTGTGTACTGTATATACAGTATATGGAAAGATAATATCATGTGACTTACACTGAAAAGCAAAAATCCCTTATATGTCATAAACCTACACCAATTTTATATCTTCTTGTCAGTTGCTAAGCTACCACCCTGAGGTGAACCTGGAGTGACCTTTTTAATTTGAGATTAAAGGGCACCAACTTACTTCCTCTTAAAACAGCTCACATACTGCACACAGCCAAAAGCTCAATCTGTCTGACATATCTTGTTCATTTAGCACGAGTGAAGAAAACAAGACAAGCTTTTGCAAAACCACGTCACGACTACTTCTGCTAATGCACACACAGTGTAAGTTTATGAATCGATCTCTATTATTATGATGCTCATGCATATACGTAGATTTCCACTCCTTCAGCCTCACAAGGAATTCTTGACCATGAAGAAGACGAAAACAAATTCTCCACCCCCTTTTGTTTTCTCTGGAATGAATTTGCTATAACATGTTTGCCTTGTCTTGCACTGTTCCCCACTGAGCTGACGCCCATTGGAAATGTCAGAATCTGCTCTTTCATGCACCCAGAGCACACAAGGCATTCATGGGTACCTTGTAGGGTCAGGGCTCCAGCGGCGTACCAGAGGCTGTGGAGGAGTGTGAAGTGATTGTCTTCACTCTGGGGCTCGCTCCACTCACAGGGGCTCATCCTGAATGACAGCACAGCCAATAGAGAAATGTTACAAGGCCATGGAGGACAACCTCACAGCACGACTAGCTTTGCTGTGTCTCCTTTCACTTTGTTTGCACCCTACACCTTCCTTGCACTTTAGATGTACGTTTATTTTATTCGATTGTACATTCAGAAATCGAACTCAAAGCAGCAAAAGAAAAGTTGTAAAGCAGGGCTCAGAAACAGTGAATGACAGGTGTGAAAACCACAGCTGTCTGAACAAGGAGAGAAAAGGTTACCCAGGCAGATGAAATGGCATGCAAGGTTTTTGCAAGTACAACTGTGGAGAAGATCTGTAGAGAATATTAAAAAAGAGGCACATTTGCATTTTCACATGGTTGACTGTAGTACCTGGCCACAATGCAGAGGCAGAATGCCGTCACTAAGTAAGCAATTAATATCCCAATCCAGGTCTCCTTGGAGAAAGGGTTGAGGAACTCGAAGAAGTTTGCCTCTGAGGTGACCAGATCCTTGCGCAGGATGATTCCGATGCCAGTTTGCATGAAAGGCTTGGTCATCTCGATAGCCTTCTCCCTGACTGCGGTGACAGTTAGAGGAGCCACGGCCAGATCTGCCTCCTGGAAGAACAGGGAAGAACTTGACAACGGCCAGTTTTAGCCCTCAAAGCTTTTCTAAAACTTTTTTTTTCGGTCACTTTTCTGCCCTTGAAAAGTGTCTCAGAAAACCAGCCTCTTGGCCACACGGAGGGTCGAGTCATTCCGATGCTCACCCCTCGGACGACTTCCCCAACCATTCCGTTCCAGTTGCCCTCCGCATCCTGGCGTCCATAGAATCCGTCCTTGACAAGATTAATGTTGTATCTGAAGTCCAGTTTCTTGGCGATCTCATTCAAAAGGTCTATGCAGAAGCCTTCAAATTCGGTGCCTTTCTCCATTGTGTATGGCTCTTGCTGTAGAAGAAATGCACAGCAGAAATGCAGAGCGCATTAAGCCATGGCAATCCTGTTTTTTCACAAATGAAATGTTTTTTTTTTTACTCACAGATCCTTGGAAATAAATTAATTTACAGCACTATAAAATGTTATTGTTCAAGCTACTGACCAGAATGTCTCTTTTAAATTTGGCTCAACGATGAAACCCCATCATTTGTCACTGTCATTTTTAAAAAGGTAAATCAACAGGCGAAAACTGAAATTTAAGTAGTATGAACTGAATTTTTCTGCGAGACTCATATTGGCACAAGAGATGTTAAAAAGTCACATTCATTAAAATAGGCCAATTAACAAACACTTTTCCCTGAAAGATTCTTCCATTACTACCGTTTCTTAACTGTTTAGTAAGTATTCTCCCATGAACTACCTTTATAGTGGTGACTGTTAATGCCTTCACTTCTCGTCTCATTCTGCTCTTATCCTGGAAGAGGGAAAAAAACAGAACAGGATTTTTGTCTGTAGAATTTGTTTTTGTCCCTCTTACCCATACTGAAACACATTTCAGTTATCAACAGATTTTTAAAATATTTATACAGCATATCTGTATTTGTAATCTCATTTGGTTGTACTGGTATGTCCAGTAATTCACCCGCGATCATATCTTATGACTGTTGTGTCTTTGACCCTGTAATTTCTGTGAGAATGTTTAAATTCCCCTTGTGAATTATCTCCATGTTTCTGATCTTGTATTTCTCTGTGTCATTAAATGCTATCTTGTCCTTCCCTGTTTTATCATGGCAAAAGCACACTGAGACATAAAAAGCAAAGTCAAATGACAAATTAGGAATCTGCAAAATTACCTGATAGTTTTTTAAACAGAAACTCATAAACGGGTACCTGAAAGACATATCCTGATGATGTAGGAACATTGTAATTTAAACTTCAATTTAAATAGCACTACTGTATATTAAACACACCAATGTAAATGTGTGTATATGTTTGCTTTGGGTATTACAAGACATATTTGCTGTCTCAGTTTAGTGTCTGTTGACGTCATGTATCATATTACATTTAAAAATCTTTTCTTGTAACCAACAGTCAATTTCTTTTGTTACACAAGAAGAGATAAAAAGTACATGTGTTCCAGAAACAAAGCGCTTACTATACCTTCAAGTCAGAAGACCCTGAAAAGGAGAGAACAAAATTAATACCCATACTTTGATAATGGAGAAGTTTAACAAATAAAACAAATTAATTGGTGACCTTTTCTAAACACAGAGAAAATGTAATGTTTGATTAGCATAAAATGTTATTGGATGCAGAATGACTCACTCTTAAATTCCTCAGTAGAATTTTCACTAATGGATTAAGCATGTATTTAACTGTTTAATAAATTGGAGGCATCTTACAATATTTAAGGGTGTGAGGTTTCATGGTAGTTTTGGCACAGTGTTCATCTCAACAAGCCTTCAGAGAAGAACAAAACCAGTAGATGTGCTAGACACTGTGATTGAATGGGCTATTTTCATGTCACTGTCAATATCAACTTTTTTCTAATATCTTTTAAAAGATATTAGTCAAAGTCCTGTGGATTTTGTATTAAAATTTTAAATCACAATGCATTCATGGACTGCTCTTGACTTTCATTCACCTGGAATTAAACCTGATGAGTCCTTTCAGTGTTGTTCTATTTCCAAAAGAAGTGTCTAAAGACCTCTTTCAAGGTTGCATATATAGTGGTTTTCTTATGTGTATTTGTCCTGTCACTTTCTAAAGTGATTCATTTGGTTTGCTTTCCATAGTAAGGGAAATGGTTAAATCAGATCAAAGGTGTAGGTGAAGAGTAACAAACACACAAAAATAAATTGTAAACAAAGAAGAAAAGCACTTACAGACTTCAAAAGCCCATTATTCCCATTATTCCCACACAAAAAATTCAGTCTCCAGCCTCTCGAGCTTTATAAATGGTTTGTTTAAAGTTATTATCTGTTTTTAATGCATAATTTCCTCTAACTGTGTTGTGGCTTTGTAAAGGCTATTATTGTGCCTTTTATTTTCCTTGTGGGGGTTGCTAATTCCTTACTTTACCAGGCACAGACAAAGACACTCTTGTACTTCGGCATTTTTTTCCCCCCGAAGCCCCTCTCTCCTCGGCCAAAACACTTCTTAGTGCTGTACAAAAGGCTCACAAGGAAGTCGTGAGGGTCAAACAAGGGCCTGCATTGACATCCTTGTGCTCCTCCCGCTGCGGTACTTAAGAGGGGGCCAGCCAGCGATGTGTTCCGGCGCCCCCGAGGACTGGCCTTGCCACAACGGAGCCCGTTTGGCTCGGCCGGTGCAGCTCCTCCGGCACCGACATTTGTTCGTTACCACAAAGTGTGACCAATGCCATTGGCCATGTCAATTCAGCATGTCAGAAAGACAGGCCAGAGAGCAGACACAGTCACAGGGGTCTGTCAGTATCATGGAGAGCTGCTGACATGCATCATTGCCTCCTTTTCAAAATATGACAGATTACAAGCCTTAAAAGCCCTATCATTCTTTTTTTTTCTCTTGCACATTGGCCGCTAGTTAGGCAGCAAAGATGGATTTGATTTATTACTATCTTTGTTTTTTTAATGTCTCTTTTGAGTTCCCAGCAAAATGCTGTGTGCCAAACAGGATGCTGTTTGATACTCTGATGCTATGCCCAGCGGAAATTCCTCAGTGTAAACCCAAACCGCTTTCTCCATCAGCAACAAGCTGAAGATGTCTGGCCTCTCCATTTTAATCTGAATATCATAGACAGGATATGAGCGACTGAATGAGCCAAAATAAAAACACTACTGTATTGTTTCAAACAATAAAACACAGTGATCTGATGCACTCCAATTTTCTAACTCATTAAAATGCACCCAGCTTAATTTAGCTTAAAAATCTATTACAAATAGACAAGTATTATTAACTTATTTAAGCAATGCCTTTATCGCAACATTTTATATTGTAACTTAGATTTATACCCACTTTTTGACTTGGGCATTTTACTGGAACAATATGAGAGAAGTATAGGACATTACTCAAGGGTACAACAGCAGTGCCCACTTAGGATGTGAACCCATAACCTTCCACTTACAAGTCCAGGGCTACCATCACCACTACTACAGCACCAGTTTCTTAGACTGGAGATCACAATCATAAAGGTAGCCAGGGGCATCTGTGCAGGGTAGCTAAAAAGTACAGGGATTGGCAGCCAAACATTATGCAGTGACAGACATTTTCAACAGCTCCTTAAAGCAAATCAGAAATAATGCTAAATGTCTCTTCTTCCTGTCCTTTGAAATAATTTCCTTTTTTATTTAGCCTGTAAGCCATCACTAGCGCCCAAACAGCAGCACCAGCGAGAGATGTTCAAGACTATTAAGGATTTTAAAGAATACATTTCACAAATTTCAGCACATAACTTCATTGATTGCTGCTCATGATGCCTGTTCTAGAAGGCTTACCTGCAAAGCAGAATTCAACTAGAAGCAGGACAGTAGAGCACAGGAACAGCATTGTAGCCCCCTTCATTGTAATCAATCTGGACCTAAAAAACAGTGCGTTACTAGGAGTGGCCTTAGTAAAATTAATTCAAAAGTGACTAGGAATTTAATTAGATCTTTAAAAAATTCTGAGGTCTTCGTTACAGTTAGAGGTAGACATTTCAGGTGTCTGCTACAGAATTTTAATCATTTTGACCATGACATATTCATCAGTTCACGTCAATGATTACAGTAACAGCATATTTGCAACTATAAAAAGTACTAATACTCTTAAATAATTCCACTAGCAATTATTTTAATGACAATGTTATTTTGACATTTTCGCTATACTGTATGGTTATTTATAGTTATACACATTTTCAGGTTTTTCAGCTTTCTACTACCAATGTAACAGTAGCTTACAGTCTGTTTCAAAAAGTACTGTCACTGAAAGACTACAAGATACTGCTTGCAATCACATTTTTGAATTTATAGAGTATAATGGTGATATCAGTACCAATTTGAATTTTCAGTGCATGTCACTTTCACATTTATAATACATTTATGTTGCATTAATTTCACCTGAGATATAAAACAAGAACTTGACTTGTCCAAATATAATAGTTTCTTTTAGATATACTAATACAGACAACCTCATGGTTGACGTTTTCTAGATGGTTTAACATACAGTACATGCCAATTAATCATTTAGATTGTTGAGGTTTTCAGAAAGAGTACTTTATCCATATTACTCCTACTGTATCAAGTGGTGGTGCAAATACAGTATACAATATAACATGGTACAATTACAATACAATAATTCGTACTGTGCAATTCCAAATTATGGGCAAAAGGATGCTAAACAGTAATACCGAGGTGAAAAGCACAATTCAATGACTTCTCATTGTTAATATATATCCATACACTGTTTACAGTATATCAAGTACAGTTAGTGTGAAGCAGACTCCATCCCACTGAAAACAAGCATTTCTTACCTTAACTATTGTCTGTGCCTTGAACTGTAAGTGTTCAAGTGAAGGATTAGAGTGAGGTTTAAATGATGTATCAAGACCCCCCTGAGAAAGTGGGGTGTCCAATGGAATTTGTGGGTGGAGAGACTACAGTTGGGACGCAGAGTGCAGGGAGAACCTTCTGTTTGGCTTTAAGTCTTTACTGGGATGGGGGAGCAGGAGGGGAACAGAATTCAAGTTTCAGTCAATTTCACACAGAAAAAAACTTTTCGTTCCTCTCCCTTCAATGTGCCTCCTCTGCTCAGATCAGTTATGTAACACAGCTGCAACACAGAACGAATATACTGAGAATTTAGTTTTTTGAGTGCATCTCATCTTAAATAACTTCCAATACTTCTCAGTCTGTCAGGATGGGCATTTGTCTCTTTCCTCATACATACTGAACGTGCACAGAAACTGCCTATCAAAACACCTGCTGATTTAAGAAAACATTCTGCAGCAGAACAAAGCATTTCATTTATTCATTCAAAATTTAATTTATTTTCAAATAAATGTACAGTAACTGCATTTGCTATTTTACACATTTAGAATAATCACTCACCTAGAATTGCAGGAAAGCACTGCAGTCACAATTCTAATGTCTTTATTTCCTAATATTGCACTGTTTTGTTTTTCACAATATTCTCTTGCTATCGCCACAAAAAATAAGATTGTAACCAAGAGACAGCCATTTAGCCCACACACTTACTGCATCTCTAATATAATACTGTCCTTTTCCAGGATGGTCAAGATTACCATTTTCTAGATAGTATTCTCCCTAGAAAATGTCTTGAGCAAAGTGTTTGAAATTCCTGTTCTTTTCTGCTGTAAACCAGTTCAAAGATAGAAAAGCATTGCCTTGCCTATAAAGACTACTGTGATATTTTCCACAGAACGGGAGTGATCTGACTGTTTGCCACTTTACTGGGCTTTGGAGCATACTAATGCATAATTAATCAACATTGTGAAATAATCTTTTTGGAAAAAAGCTAGAAAAAATAAACTGTGATACTCTGATCACAAGACTTTTGTAGATGGCTTGCAACTATGTAAACCTTGGCAAAAAAAGTTATAAAGTGAACAACAGTTCAACACATTAATGGTACTATTGCATCTAGCCTTGGGACACATTTCTGCGTTCACAAACTTGGAAGCTATAGAGGAGCTATGATAAAGACACTAATGCTGTAGTTGAGCTGTTCATGTCTAGCCCAGTTTAAAAAACAAGAAACATTTTTCAATATATTAATTAGACGTTAGAGGAGAAAACAAAAACCAAATTAGAGAAAACACAAAACAAGTAAAAGAACAAAAAGGTTCCTGATGTTTGGGAAAAAGAAGGATCTTTGGCCAGTTATCAACACTGAAAGAGAAAACGCTTGTGCTTTGCAAGCAAATGCATATTTGTCCCGCTTCCCTACTTATTCTTGTTACAGGGATAAATGATGTTACATAGAAGATGCCACAATAATAAATGACAGCCACCTCTGGGAAACTCATATAGTCTAAGAGTGAGCCATTAGATTTGCCTTCAGCAGTTTTCTTCCCTTTGCAATACGTGATTGTTCAGTGCACAACAAGCTGATGTTTATTGTTTCCGACAGCCAGTCATTAATAGGATACATAAGCAACCATCAATGAAGCTTTTGTCTTACTTGTAAAGCATGTTGCTTTTGGCAAATACATTCCACAACAACAAAAAAGGAAATTTAAATCATGAACCAGACAGGATTAAACAGGATTTCAGTCTCTATGGGTTCAGAAATAAATGTTTTTTTTTTCAAAAACTCCTTTTTTAAAAAGCCAGGGCAGATTTATGGGAATTACAACAGTCAGAAATGCAACACAAATGTTTCTGAAACCCGCCTCACCTTTGTTCCTGTGAAACGTTCAGGCAGGGCTTTAAGAAAATTTTCCATCAAGAAAATAATTGCACAAAAAGTTTATTTTTAATCTCCAGTGTTTCTTTGGTTCATTTTACACTTTTTAATTTGTCCACATGCCCAGACGTCCTTATCAAAGACACCAGGGGGTTTTCAACCCAAGTGACAACAACATTCCCTCAGCTCACTGCATTCAATAGACTTCAAGTTGAGATTTGAGAGTGGAACTACATTTGATAAATACAGATTTGAAGTAAGCTGGAGTGCTGCTGGAATTCTAATGAAGACATCTTTTGTGGGAGTGACAACAGGGGACAATTTCTGTCACTTGGCAAACTGCATAAATCTAAGGAAAGTTTGTGGTGCCACAGCGAGATCTAAAAGCAGAGATCATGCCGGTGGCTGTTGTCGTGGCAACCACAGCCTGAGTTCAACATCAGCTTTTGTCAACCTGTCACTTGGGATGGGGCGAGTTGGGTGAATAATTTTGAGTGTTCTAAAATTTATATTCACCCTTCTGCAATTAAGACTTGTTTAAAAGTTTTTGTTTTAACTACATACAGATGTGTTTGAGATGGGCCTGGTATTCCAAGAGCCAGCTCTATAAGATAAACACACTGACAGCTGACGTTACCATACTGTACATAATCCACAGTGCCAGAAAATATATTCAATTACACTACACAAGCTAACTGTGTATTGTATGCAGTGTGAAACTAATCAAAATGTAATTAAATACAACAGAACTACATAATTCACAGCGTAAAAAAATTATTCAACTATAGAAAATTGATCAAATAGCAATGTGCTCAATGAGCTGAAAACTTAGCAGTTTTAACAATTGTTTTCACACATTCTATACTTACCCAATTAAGAATTACAAACTGTTCCTTTACGTCTTGCCTCACAGCAACATCTCCTGTACTGCCCAGACACAACGAGGATGGGGTGACGGACCTCTCCAGATCGCTCATCCATCAAGTCAATCTTTGATCTGCAAGCTCTATAGTGGCCCATGAAGTATTTGGCACTGAGAAGTGATGCCTTGTAGGAAATTCTGTTCACAGTGGGCACCTACTGTCCACACCCACTCTTCTATTGGTCAGGCTACTGTGGACAGTAGCTTCCATAGTGGTCAAGTAATATTGCAACCAAAAGTAAAATATTTTAATGTCCAGTGCTGTTATTGAAGCAATTCAATGAAAAAGAACATATTAAACTGCATGCAGTATCCTTTTCAAAAAGCACACGTGGTACTTATCTACAGTATACAGAGTCAAGATAGGGCTATATTTGTGACAGTTTTTAAATTTCTATTTTCAACTAAATGATCCATCAAATCTCACAAGACATGGTAATATTAAATTGCTGCATTAGAAAAACAAAAAAAATAAAACACCGGTTTAATTTAAAAAGAAAACAACTTTTTAAACAACTTTTCACAGAACTGTTTTTAAAATCCCTACAAAGTTCTGCGCTGTTCTAGTTTTCTCAAAGGGCAGGACAGCGTGTGCAAAAGGTCTTGAAGCCTTGAATTAAGGGTTAACAGAAGCATGTGGTCTCCAAGCTTGTATGCATTTGGTTGTCTTTCAGTTTGAAAAATAATTTTTCTGAAACAATTCAATGCAAAATTAGGTCGGAAAGTTAAGCACACATCTCAGAAGCCTCCTAAACTAGGTCAAACACAGATGTCACACTACTAAGAAGCTGTGACAGGAAATATGCCAGCAGGAGAATGAACTGCCTGGAAACAAAAGAGGGAAATGTTCTACACTTCACCACTAGTCCTAAAAGAGTACTATGTTGTAAAACTGTGGATATAGAAAAACAAGATATTGGATGCTATCAAATGAAACTGAATCCTATCAAGAACATTCGCATATATAACCCAGCTCCAAATAAACCTTTCAAGAATGGGACAGAACTAGTTGAGGAACACCTTCAAGCATATTTGTAAAGATTAAATATTTTATTTAGTGTTGATTTACATTAAGTGAATAAAAGTTCAGATATACAGGGTTTTTTTGCATGTCATGTCTGTAAATATTTTATACAATATATGAAATGGGTTTTAAAAGTAAATGTACACCTATTTTAAAATACATAAATGACAAAAGAAAATTACTCATACCTAAAACATGTATCATCAAAAAAGTAAAAAACAATGAAAAATGCAGTAATTTATTTATATGATCTCTAATTACATATGCTAAAGTTTAAATATTTTTTTCTAAAATTTCATACAGAAAACTGACATGGCAGTGCAAAACAGTACAAGTTAAGAAAGGTGCTTTACAGCATCTCATCAACATATAAAATACCATCTAAAATGACTCATTAAAATATCAGATGCAGAACTGATTGGCATATTCCACTCAACAAAACACTGAAAAGGTTTTTCATTTCCCCAACTAATTAAAAACATTGCAAGTAAACCTTTTCAAAATGAGATGATAGTGCATTTGTACCATGCAATGGGATTCGTACCGATTCTTGGGCAGTTCCATGGGTAATACAATGTTGGACAATACACAATCTTCCACTGTAGTTTTAACATCACAGAGGACTAATGAAAGGTTGTGAGCTGACATTTGTACATTGCACAACAACACCTTGAGGTTGTACAGAACAATTCTCCATGTAATAGCTCGCTATAACCGAGAATGGGAAAGATATTACATACAAGAATTGTATAACAGGTTCTGAAAAAATTGATCAATTTATACAATTTATCCCATCGCAAGATGCATTTTTGCTGGGTTTTACAGTTCTAGTACAATCAAGTCTTTTAAAAATCCCCCCATTTACAGTATTGTTGTCAGTTGTCACATAAGATACAATGACTCTAACAATCTGCTTAACTATGCGTTGCGTTTTGTCTACTTGTAACCAGTGAATTGAAATCTAGTTTTAAAAAAGAAAAAAGAAATAAATGGACTACAAAGTTACGGCACCTTTATAAGAACTAGTCTAACGCTAAGTCTGTGACTCTTACATCTGGAATTCACCACTGTAGAAGGGAGATTCAGGTAGGCTGGTTTTGAGGTCTTTTGAGCTCTTGTAACAGAGCTTTTATCGCCTTCCAGTGTAGTAGTACATACATCTAGAACAGCATGTGCAATGTATTTCTTACAGTAAAAACATAAATGCTTTTGAAAACAAAGTATAAGAAACTTTTATAGGGCCTTCCAGGCTTTGTGTCTTTCTGTCATAGTGGATAGGGTGAAAGCACAACATACATACCCGTCTCTGTAGTAGATGCAATGTATCCAAGCTTAAAAAGCAGACATCCGACAAGGTGAGAACTCACTATTTAAAGTGCCCTTAAAGCTATTTATCTATTATTTTAAGTCTTACAATTTGAAATATTTTAGTGTTTTTTGTGCTGACCTAAGTGATATATTTGGACTACATTACTTTATGGTCCCTCTTACTACTCTCATACCTATGGATTAGGAATGATGCTATCAATCAAATTCAAAACAACAATTTGACTAGATAATTGAAAGCACCTCTTAAGTCAGGTCACGGGACTAGATATGACATATTCAGTGCATGAAGAAAGAAACAAACATAATGCATTGAAGAACATCGGTTTTACATGTACAAAATCTTGCAGTATCAATTCCTTTAAAAATGTCACAAAAAAAACCACCTTTGCTTATACTTTTTCGACACACATTACTGGATTCAGTTCAAGCATGGTTCAAACAGTTCAGCCTTCTTTTTCAAAGCTTCAGCATGAAGAATACCTCCGTGTCAGGTGCCTGGGGATTTGGGTCTTGAGGAACAGGGGGGAGCTGGCTGAGAAGGTCCAAGTTGGCGCACAGGCTCCTGGCCACAGAGCAGGCTCCCTCCGGGTTCCCTCGCTCTTCGATGGGACTGCTGTTCTGCTGGGTCAGGCTCTGCAGCCTCTGCCTCTCCTGTGCCTGCTTGGCTCTGTTGGCGATGTAGCGCACCCTGCTCTGGCTCCTGGAGGAGGACCTCCGCAGCAGGCAGACCTCCTCCTCCTTCTCATCCTCTGCCAGTGCCGATGAGGCAAAGTCTCCGGCGGTGAGCGGCTCCACGGCGGTCAGCCTCTTGAGCTGTTCCGTCAGGTCATCCGGGGTTTTCTGGGGCGGTTTGCGCTGACCCCTCATGGGCCGGGTGATGAAGCTCCGACTGATGCTTCTGTACTTGCTGTCAAAGTTGCAGGCAATGTCATCTGAGGTCAGGTCCCCCAGGCTCTTGGACTTGGAGCTGCTGTCCACATCCTTGACAACAGGCGCAGGGGACTTCCTAGCAGCCGAAGCTGACTGCTTGAGGCCTTCCATGTAAAGCCTGCTCCAGGTGTGCCTCCTCTGCATTGGCCTGCCAGGGTTGCGAAGCTCCTTCCCCAAGGGTCTGGGCTGTAGCTCATCTTTCATTTCACTCATGTCCTCAGTTCGCAAGTTAGGGTTGGACTTACTTTTACTAACCCTTGAAATCTCACACCCCGTAGTGGCAGAACATGGCCAGTTGACCGTATTAGTCATGAATACTTCCTCAGAATCCTCCCGGGAGCCACTTAGGTTTGTTAAACTCTTCCGGGCCAAGTTTGGCAAGGATAGGTCAATGACTGTGTCAGTGGAGGATATGCTAGATGATGAGGACACGCTGTCCCTGTGGTTGCGGTTATCGAGCTTGCTCCACAGCCTATCATTCATGGTGACATCAGTATAGACCTCGGGAACAGGTGACTGCTCACTCCCAGAAAGAGCTGCCCGAACATGCCCTTCACTTTTCGTTCTGCGCACCAGTGTACGCTGCCTAACCTGCAGAGTCTGAGGTTGTTCTGTGCTAAGAAATGCCTTCCCATCCTGTGCTCTCTGAGAGCTGTTGCCTGAGTAGACAGTGTTATTCATGAAAGAAATCTGCTGATGTGTTTGGTTTAGCTCAGTCTTAAATTCATTTCCATCTTTACCTGCTGCTATAGTTTTACAAACACCTGTTCCATTATCTTGAGGTGGACCATTCAATTGTACAGGGGAATTACACAAATGGGACTTCATTCCAGTCTCTTCAGCACTAGTTAATGGAATGTTTCTAATTTTTTCTTCAACCCATTTCACATCATTGCTTACTTTCTCGATTCCAGGATCAGGGGTAACAGCAGAAGTCTTTTCTGAATTAGTTGTTCTCTTGACACCTTCCTTTTCTGGGGTTAGACAGGTATTTCCCTCTTGAAGTAGCAGAGAGGGGGTTACAGGTTGTATTGCTGAATGACACAAAGAAGCAGGAGCTTTAGCAGGGTTCAGCTGTGAGACAGTGGCCTCCATGACTGAGTGGGACGAGGTGGAGATTGAAGCAGGACTAGAAATGAAGATGTGATTTTTCTCCTCTGAGAAGGACGTCTCTTCAGCAATGGTTTCCAGGGTGTACATTGGAGAGACGGGTATGTGCAATGAACTGGTGAGGCTATCTGCAGGGAAAACAAAGGTTAAAATAAGTTAAATTTAAATGGAAATCCCTACTGTATACTGATTATACAGGCAGTACAGTGGGCAATATTTCATTTCCAGTCCTGCTGAACAAAACTTATAAACAGTTACACTAAACAGAGTATCATACAATGGTGGATAGCACTTTTATTAAAATGCAATATCATTGAAACAAGCAATTAATAACACTGATTCACTGTTAAATGGATATTTAAAACTATTTAAAAAATTATTTTGAACACCGTAACCTGAAAACAAGAAAACAGTTTGAGGAAAACAAAACTGTCTAAATATGATCATGGATTTACGGTATAAGACAAACAGATGAAATCTTTTCCATACTGTCACAGCACAGATGCAATGAAATTCAGGCAAAACACAGACCTTGACACACCATAAGATCACTACAAACCATATTTCATACCCATGCTGTTCACACATGGCATGCTTGAATAGCTTCTGTCTTATGTGAAACTTAATGAATTAAAATGTAATGAATGAGTCCCTCACCATATTTTTATAGACAAAAATAATCCAAATACGAAATAACTCCCTTGGTAGTACAACAAATTAAACCTTCTGCGCAATTCAATTTTTAACTGTTAACCTTCAAAGCCAAAAATTATATACATGTTAATGAATCAAAGCTGGCTTCCAAAACTGTGCTGAGTTTCGTGGATGGACGATAATCTATAGTATCTGGTCCAGAAAGGAACACCAACATTTTTTCTGTCATAAGAGATGGCTCCGCAACATCTGTAAGTAACTGTAACTTACCCTGCGACTATAAATTGTCATAAATTAAAAACGTATCCTGACAGATATTAAATAGAAGAAAATATTCATGCCCCCATATGCTTACCATTCCTTTAACACCAAGACAATGTGACACATTAAATATTTGTTTTTATTGTCACCCCAAGATACCTTGTGAGTTGTGGGAATTTATAAAAGAAAATGGAAGCAAAGTGGCTGAAGGGTGTATTTCACTTCTCTTAGAAAAAAGTTTATCAAAGAGAAAAGTCAAGTATAAAATGAAAACATTTGAAATTACTACTTTCCTCCCCCACACTTTGCATTCTTCTGTGGTTTTCCAGAAAAAAAAATAATCGACTGAGTGTTTGCTTTGGATTTGATTTTTTAAAGGGTAATATGATGAAAGAAGAAGAAGAGAGACGCAAGCAGGCCATGCATAGAAAAAAAACAGAACAGAGGAAACAGATTCAAAATTTCTTTACCTTGCTTTTGGTCATCCTTTCAATTCTGCACTAGAGACAGAGCGCATGTGAATTGGACAGAACAAAAGGGAGACAGTTTAGCAACACAAGGAGGAAGAAGAGGAATAGGCTCACAGGAGACTGGCTTCCACAAACCTCACAATTCTGAATTTAATTTTGTCTGTTTTCAACAGCTTTGGTCAATTTTGGGTCTCGGGATGGAAGAAGATTTTTTTCCCCCAGTTGTTTCGGGAACTCATGGCTTTGAACAGAAGAACAGGCAAATACAAGCCATCTGCTACTCTAAGTCTTATCTTTCAATTAGCCAGCTTTTCAAGTTAAATTGTGGCTAACAAAACAGCTTACTATGACAAGTAAACTCCTGACACTAAAGAGAATATACTGTAGAAAGCACCACCTATGGTGTGAAAACTGCCACATTGTGTGGATTTTACAGACAAAAATGCTCATCTTTGTAAAATTGCATCAATCTGCCCAAACCTTTCTTTAAAAAGAGCCTGCCGTGCACAGGAAAATCAGTAAAACTCCCCTTAAATTATAAGGTTTAAAATCTTTTAAATGATTATCAGTACAATCCTGCTCATTGAACACAAACAGAACCCATGTACTGTATGTTATGCACTTGGAGAATTGGTAAGCATTCCTTAAGAGTAAACCACAGAGATTGCTCACGGCCTCAGAGACCAATCGTTAACACAGATGGAGTGGTTCTCCAAGCAGCTGTAAACCCCCATTCCTGTTCCCTGAGTAGTAAGTGCAGCATTGGCCTTGAAAGTACAGTCACAAGATCTCTTACTGCACAGTTTTGGCTGTATTCCCTTTCATAAATATTTGGTCTATTCAAGCTTTATTAATCCCATCTGTTCATACTTTGAAGGAAGCACAATACTGCTGGCAACATTTCAAAAACAATTGCTATAAATAAAAAGTAGTGTGTGTTTAACACTCCTGTATTGCAGATATTAACAACATGCCATTGATGATAATTCAGAGTTTGGTAAAGAATGTTTTATGTACCCACAAACTATACTGGTATACTGTAGATACTGTTTCACCCAATGTTGAGATCATTTTGAGATCAAGGAAATCAACTCTGTGATCATACTGATAGAGGAAGGGTACCTTGTGTTGTGTGCAGTAGCACTGTACAAACCTAGTTTTAGAACTACTTTTCAAGATTAAAGACCACAAATAATATGAGAAGGTCTTCTAACAATGGATGAATATTTTTTTTAATTGGAATTGCATATAAAAATATTCTAACTCATTCTCATGTGCATAAATAATATGATTGCCTGGTTTTTATTGCACTTAGACACTGTAAATGACAAGACCTTTGCTTGCCAATGTTGAAATTTGCTGGCAGGAAGGTTCTGAAAATGCTTCCAGTACAGTGGCTGTTGTTCTACAGCTTTTAAGAAAGAATATATTTTCCTCTCCTGAAAATAAGCATGATTAATGAAAAATATGCAATGCAAGCTGCTGGGATTCCAACCCAGAATCCAACAGTTTTTCTACTGTAGGTAAGTGTAACTTTCGTACACCTCTACACCTGGGAGAAGTGTTAAACCAATCCAGGTAAAGTTTAAGTAGACTGATGTATCACCTCTCCACAGCCTTAACATGCTGATAATTTAATGAGACATAGATAATCTAGTGGATTCCAAATCTAAAGAAGAGAATTGGGATTGAAATCATCAAAATAATGCAGGATCATAAAAGACATGAAAAAGAAACAAGAACATGACTAACAGACAAAATAATACACTGGAAAATGAAGAGACCCTTTCTGGTCCTCCTTGTGAAAAAAAAAAAGTTAATATTGATAGTCAGCTGCACATTTTGTTCCAGTTTGACTGTTCATGTTTCTTGAACATTTCACTTGGCTTGTCTGGCCAATTAAGTGTAGTCAGAAGATCTCCCACTATAGTGTTTGGCTGCTTTCCCTTCCATAAACATTTGGTTCATCCAATAACTCACAACCCCTTGGTCTTTAATAATAATTTTAAACCATCTAAAAACCTATGGGGACCGTTTCAAGAGCAATCATTGCAAATCAGCAGATGTGAGCCCTCAGAGATGCTGGATATACATCACTGATGGCATTCCATTTGGCTGTGCATACTTAAACTTTAAGCAAAACCTTCAACTTTCAAGAGTTCAGCTTATTCCTCCCACACCCAGTCAGCTTCATAATGACCAAGCCAGGGTGTCTTGTGATCTGATTACCACAATGTTGTACATTTTGTGTACTGATTACCCTCTTGTTTTACATTTTGGACACTTCCAAATTCAAATTCTCCCACCAGGATGCAGAACATCTGTCACAGTATGCTTGCAGTTTTCTCATTGTCTTACCATACAGTTAGTTTGTATTATGTTTGGAATATGCTTTACCAGTGTTTTTATGCAATGTTATATTTCTATTGTGATTTTACCATGGTAAACAGCATTGGCTCTATTAATACCCATGAGATGGGAAAGTGATGAAACCTTAGCCAGAATATTTTGTGCCACCCAATGGGGTGAGTGAAGATGACATAGCGATACTTTCAATCAAAGATCATAATTAACATGATCAACTAACAAGAATCAAGGAAGATCTGAGCAGAATGATTAACTTTACCCACATTGTACATGGTATGCTTTAACTAGACTTGTTCAGAAGTGCTCTTTACAGTAAATGCCGTATATACAGTAGAGTCTTCTATCTCTGGTTTATTAGCTTTGTGCAAATTGACAAAAATATATTTTTTAACTGAATGTTCTGCTTTTATGTTATGTTATGTGCTCACCAACAATAGTTCACTGCTGTGCTTCTGAAGATCTAATTCAAATTCTCAAGGCATGACTTGGGCTTAATTCGGTGCACATTTATGATTCTTTAAAAGAAAACCAAATCAAAGCTTGTTCCTACTTGGCGTTCTAATATAATAAAGACAACTAAAATATAAGGATAAGCTAATAGTTTTTAAGATAGGAAAAGTATTTCTTACAGCACATTATGAATGGACCTTTATAGTTACTTACCTACAATTTCATCTGATTTATTTAAAACACTTACCTACAATTTCATCTGATTTATTTAAAACCGTAAAATGTTTGTTGTCCAAAAAAAGATAAAATTAATTGAAGAAACTGATCTGACAGAGTGGTCCAATACCCATAATGGCATGTGACTTATCAAATCTTACATTCAGATGTAAATGCATTTCTGAACCCATTTTTCATTGTTGCATATTGTGTTTTACTCTTAAAACCTCAGGTTTACTGCTTTTCTCAGGATTTGTAAGATTTGCATTTATCTTTAAATATATTTTGTGAGAAGGTAAAAGTCAACACTTGAACTAAGATTTCATTTTTTGATTCGTCTTTTGCAGTTTGTAACAGCAATTTGTTTCTGCATTAAAACTACAATGCATTTTACAACACATGAAAAATGGGAGAAGAAAATGAAAAATCTAAATGTGGCAATAGGCTATTCTAGAAAGTGTCTAATCTCAAACAAAAATGAGAGAAAAAAAATACTGTGAAAGAAATCCCAATGCACCCAACTACAGTACACTATCAGTCCAGACACACTAGTACTACTGTGGAATTGTAAGCAAGAGCACTACAGCTGGGTTAACATGATGGTGTCTGAGATGATGAGCAAAGTCTCATTAAACTGCATCAGAAGTTGATGCTTAAAGTCACATGGGAAGCTGTGGACCATGGCAGAGCCATTAAAAACATGTCTTGATCTTCTGACACCACCACGCAAACACGATGAACTTTGCACAGGGCATCTAAGGGTAGCAGGGAGACTGCAGGGAATGGCTAAGGCATCAGTCAGGTCTTACCAGTGAAGAATATGGGAGATTTACTGCGAATTTCCTCCATTTTTTGAACAAAGAGAGCATTCATCTCGCGTTGCAGCGTGCCCACTGCCCTGCGTCTGTTGTCAAGCTTGCGGATGGGCACCTCAGGACTGCCCAGACTGTCCAGGCTGCTCGAGTCGGTATCAGAGAGGCTGTGGTCATTTGAGGCTGCCTTCACCAGGTTGACGGTACTGCCATAGTTGGGCTGAGGTGGGCACTGCCAGCGCAGCTTGGCCTTGCTTTCCAGCGCACGCCCTGCAGGGGAGGTGGCCCTCCTTCTGGGCACGCTGCAGGAGCGGGCATTCCTGGCGGAGGCATCAGTGGAGTGGGGGTAGCCATGGACCTCCAGGGCTTGCCTAGCGTCAGGCCTGGGCTTGGGCCTAGCCTGAGGTTGTGTTCTCACAGGCGTCTGTCTCTCTCTCTCTATGGGGGGCTCTTCCCTCCTCGCCTCTGCTGACTGAGACTTAAACTTCTTCTCCATGCTGGGGCTCTCCTTCGAGCCAATCACACATTTTATGCAGTTGGTAGCCATACCAACCCTCCCAGAGCCATTCATGGCCACCCGGGCAAAGACGCCTTGCTTTTTGTCCAGAGGGTCTTGAACGCGGACCCTGTTCGCCCGGCGGAGTGGCTCGCTCAGTGCCCCCCTGTGGCGAGGCAAGTCTTTGCCCCTGCCCTCCTGAGACGAAGCCTTACCTTTGACGCCCTCAGGATGTAGCTCCCCGTTGGTACCGTCCTGTGGGCCTGGTCCAGCTGAGATTGCCCCCTGGTCCACCCGAGGCTGAGAGGCGTCTTCCGACTCCCTGTCTTCGCTGGCACCCTCTGAGCTATAATCTTTGGTGTCGATGGAGATCTCCGGAAAGCCCTTCTTTATTTTCTGCTGGCCCTTGGTGGGGGCACTGGCCGTCCTGCGCAAGAGGTGGGCGCCGAACGTGTGCTTACGACTGAGCTGTGCAGCAGCATGGCTGTCGAGGGAAGCTTGCTTTGGGTTTCTGTGAAACAGCCCTTTTATGCCAATGGCTGGTCTGGCCTAAAAATAGGGGAAAAACAACTGTTACAATACAAGCATCCTCAGATATTTTCTAACTCCAAGACTTGCCAAGTATGCTACATTTTAACAGCAGAAGCAAATGCACGCGTAGGAAGAATAAGGTGAGATATTGCACCCATTTTGTCCACTGAATATCCCAACTTTACTCCCACGTTTCCTGCATTTTCTCCAATGGGCAACAAATATCCTTAAACGCAAGTGTGAAGAAGGATAAAAGAGCCTCACATGACATTCATACTTGCTGGCTGGTTTTTCTTGACTTTGATTACGAGACTGTACTGTACAACACCATGCAAACACCTCAACCAGCAAACTGTGGGAAAAGCGAATACATTAAAGGAGCAGGGGGATGAAAGAAGAGGGGAAACCATTTTCTATTATTTGAGTCAATCAGTGTTGACGTCTTAATAGAAATTAATATTTCCAGACCTCTACGATTATTTAACATTGCGACTTGAAGGCTGGAATACCCAAACACGAACTTACAACATTTGCAGGTTTTGTAATACATATGGAAATATTACCTGATAGCTATGTCTAGCTTCTCCATGATTAAATATACAATGGTGCTGAAGTATTAAATACATATCCCTTTCAACTTATTCTTATGTAGCCATATTAGTTTTTAGGGAAAGGTTTAATACAATGCTGATACTGAATGATACCGAGGGATTTGTACTACAGACGCCCGAGAGCTACAGTTAAGATCGCCAACATTGAAGCCGAGACAAAAGCTAACTATTCTGCTTTTCTCCAATGATATAGTATCCCTGGGATTCTGAAATGATTGTGCTGAACTTTATCCAACTAGGCCCAGACTGACCTGTTTCTCTTTCTTCTGCATTCTGGATCAACTCGCATCACAAGACTATTGTGTAATTTTGCTGCTGTCCAGTTACAGCACCACAGAAACCTAAGCTCAGCGTGGTGGACAGTGATATTCTGAGGGTTAATATGCAATATGATGAGGAAGTTTGGATCAAAGGCCTGTCAAACATTCTCCTAAGATTCTCACCAGTTGAAGTACGGTATCAATTGTATGGGATAATACGGTATTTCAATGTCAGTACACTTGACTGTAATGCTAATGATTCAATAAGCATACTTGAGCACTATATTAAAATAAAGCTTCCTTAACTACTCTCACTGGGTTTCTTCTTGGTTTTGTTCAACCCTAGTTCTTAGACACAGCCTGATTAACTTTCTATTGGATATTTTTATTCAATATCAACCATTGACCAAATTCTGAGTTTCCAAACTTCCCTCATTCGGATGAGAATTTTTTTTAATTTGGCTAACAGGTAACCAACCGGACCTCTGCAGCAGGATAACGCAATGCTTGTTGTTTTGGGAGTATCTAATACAGTGTCATTCCCTTTTGCATCTGTTCATCATAGACTGATCCCATGTTAAGAGGTGCTTAAATTACATATGGGTTTTATAAATAGTTATTTTCGGACACTCCTCTTAGTGGTATAGTGCAGTTTCTCAAATCAGATATAAAAAGTTTATCTCTTCAATGAAGATCCCATTGAAGTGTTGAATCAAGCATGGAAAAATCAAATATCTCTGGACATTAAAAGTTCATGTAAAAAATACAAAAGGAGTAGCAAATTCTGTTACATTTGTCACGTTGCACTGATATTTTACAAAAAATATTTTAAAACAGTGCTTCTTAGGAAATATTATTTCATTTGGGAAAAGATCTAACCTAAATGAGAGAAGAGGTTTAGCGATTTTGAACTTGGCAAGGTGAAATAATGACTGTAACATAGGTTTTTATGATTGCTCCATACTTCTGGAGTTACTAAAAGAAACAATCAATTGAACAGTTCAGAAATAACTTATACATTTCTGATATGTAAAAATAACTTATTTTTTATCACCTGAGACTAGCAGCCTGTATTTCAGTGTGCACATTAAGTAAAACTATAGTTAGCGCAGCTTTGCTGGTGATCCAAGAATGTTATCCAAGAAACTCTATGGCAATTCTGTTGAACTTCCAGCTAGTTCAGGCTGGACATATGTTTTGCTTTGTAGACTTTTTACATTCTGGCACACGTCTCAGATCACAAGACTGGTTTATGTAGCAAAGTTGCTCTTCTCTGGCACCCTTTGAGAAAGAGCAGTGCTGGATGATAAAACATGATCTGCACACATGTTGCATCAAACAACATGAAGTTTGTTTGGTCTATGGGGTGGGTGGCATCCATTGTATTGACATGTTTTCAAATGCTTCTTCACTTGACTGTTACCTATAATATTGTGTAACTGTTGACATGCTTTTGATCAAGATCAAGAAATTGCAGTTAGCACTGACTGCTAGCTTGATAAGAGAGAAACATTATCTAGGCAGTCCTTTCAAAAAACAAAACAGCTATAAAATAGAGGAGACATACCACTTTATTTAATTAGTATACCGTGTTTGGCAAACATCACAATGATGACGAAGACCTGAGAACTAGCACAAATGGATTGTGAAAGATCTATGAATGTAGTGGATGGTGACTATATACCAATGAAAAAATGACAAGACGGTACACTCTTACCAGAGTAGAACAATTTTGCATGCAAAGATGGCTTTTCATTACAACCACCTGATGGCGCAAAGTATAAAAAAGTAAAAAAAGAAAGAAAAATAGCAGTGTGTTCTTTGTGGAGTTTATGTAGATGAATCAGTTATGTATATAAAACCAGTGATAAAGCAAACATAACAAAACAATATTTTATAACAAACACAAACAGTATTGGAAGTCAACTGATAAAGGGGCCAAATAAAACAAGGAAAAAATGGCCCCCAAAAGTCACTGGTTATCAAACAAAAATGCATGGTAGGAGTTTGTACAACTCTTGTTTGCAAAAGCTCAAACAGATGTCAAGAGAAGAAAATTCTGCCTCAAAATTCTAAAATAGCAGTGAGATCCAATGCTAAAAGTCTTTAATCTTTGCTGAATAATTTTTCAAGGTGTTTTTATTCTAATTTTGTATTTAGCATTATGCAGTTACTCTTAATAAACTCTATGTGGAATTTTTGCCCATAGAGGTCATATTCTAACCATTCAACAAACATTTTTGTTGCCCAGTAAAAGCGTCTGGTGATGAGTCCTGTGAATGTGACTGAGAGAACTGCACAGGACTGAAGATGGACAAGCAGACTGAGAACGCAGTGAAGTACAATGTCTCACACATTTTTACATCTTTGAGGTGATTCACGATGCAACATTCAAGGTTGAATTCCACAATAACATGCCACAGGGTGATTTTATTTACAAGGCTATACTAACACAATTTGCATTGGGGATTTTGTTGTTGCTTTGGCTTTGATTATAGTATAAAACTGTAAGGAAGAGCTTTCAGACCAAAAACAAAACTTGAGCCACATTAATCCCAGGAAATGCACCAGTAGCTAATTAACTAACATGCTGTTTTTTACCTCCATCTGTCAGTCTCAACATTGTTCATTTAAGAACTGAAACTCTTAAATTCTAAATAATTATTCACTGTCCTCATACTTAATTATTCAGTTTGCTACGCAGACCAATAATACCAAAATGTTCCAATGAATATATCATTTTGAAGGACTTAAAATCACCCTGTGTCAATTATTAAAACAATGCAGAAGTAGATCCAAGTGGGGATGCCCAGAAACAGGTAAGACACCTTCAGCTGCTCATTATCACACTGTACTGTATATGAAGCTCACCAACTGGGAATATAATAACTCACAATTTGTCTGTTAAAACCCCTTTCTTTTGGAAATCGTTTGTTTTTATTGGCAGAACTAAAGCAAAACCTCTAACACATACTGTAAGGCTATATTGCTTTTGTCAAAAACTTTTGTATGATTAAACAGAAACAGTTTGCCTGTGTGTGCTTTCTTGGATTCAAATCATTTTGTTCCAAAACATCAATGGAAAAGACAATCATATTGAAAAGTTGACAATTCCCTTCTAGGAGTCTGTCCTTGTTATTGGAGTAATAACATATTTGAGAAATAACATTCATGTAAGCATTACTAGGTACTGCCTTGCACTTAGTGTTATTGTATAAGGATCAGAACTAATATTAAGATCTTGTATTTGTCCTGTGTCATGAGCATGGACAGACATTATCATCTCTGTGAGAAGGTTATGAAAAGGTTCCTCAAGATAAATAATTTCTTACAATATTTAATTTTCTTTGTAACCCTTACAAACAGTCCTTACCTGATATTGCAAAATTTAGAAAGGGTTATTGTGAGTTACCATACTCCTATTTGAAAGCTATGTATATAAAACTGGTGGGAAACAAAATACAATATGTAAACTGCATATTATTCAGCATATACTGCATGACGAAATTTAGACCTTCTATTGGATGGCCAGCAGTAAGCTTGTAATGACTTTGAAAAGATTGTTAGGTTTTCTGGGCTCTTAACTTCCCAGAGATTCTCAGCAGTAAAGTGTTATCTGAAACAAGCATAGATGTCTCACTATATATCTGAAGAAGTTTATCCTTTTAGTACCATGATCTTAATTAGAAATGTATTGCTAGCTAATTACAATACTGCTCCTTGAATTTGGTCTAGCTGAACTCACTGATAATACAGGCTAGCACAAACAATTTGGAGCAGTTTCACTATAAATGTCTTTCTTTGCAATCTATTTTTCAGAATCACCTGCTGTGGATAGTCAAAACAAAGTACTGACAAAGTAAAAAAAAACAAACCCTGCAAACTGCACCAAACATCACTGAGAATCTCTTCAAGTTAAGTTTAAAAGATCAGAATGAGTGCTGCCTTGCTGTGAAAGCCCATCCTTGTTCAATGACACTGGATCTACTTTTAGAGATGGGGAGGCTCTCAGGTGCAGCTCTTATGGCTATGAAGCAACTCATGTATCTTATGAGCTGACATCTTGAATACTAATGGGTCATGTCAAGGCTGGTCTCTGGAGTGGGACTGTGGGCATGCAAGGTGCGGTTTGGTTCTCACTACACCTGTCCTGAGAGACATGTGGGGCACCTTCAAGGATCCTAACATTTGTCTGCTTCTAAAAGTAGTGATAGGATAAAGAGAGGGTCCACTGAAATCACAAACAGACAGAGGGGAGAGAGAGATAAGAGAGAGACAGAAGAGAAAGAGAAAAAACATAACTGTACAGACAACTGCAGCAATAGAGTAGAAGATGATCAGGCACAGACTGGAAAGGAGAAAAATACAGCAAGAGCATCCTACGCAGACTTTGTAATGTGTTACAGTGTGAAAAAGACAACAGCATTTTGTACAAAGACACTCACAACTACCACCTCGGCAAAGTCAAAAATGGGCGACAAAAAACCCGAATGAAGATAATGCCACTACTTGTGCTATCAACTGCCATATTTTCAGTTAATCTTATCCTTACTAACCCAAAAAATTAGAAGCGCTCACTAATATAAAAGACAAAATAAAGCAGCATTAAAGGGATGTTTCTCAAAGCAATCTGTAAGAAACTGCTGCCAAAGCAATCTTTGCAATCTAACTTGGTCTCATTAGCATTTAGCAGACGGTATTTGTTATGAGATGCTGCCAGCAGATGCTCGCATTTAATAAAGGTAACTTCATTTTCATTTTGTTCAGGGAGAAAAGCGCAAAAACAAACATCCTGGAGAACAACAGTCTGCCTTCAATTCAGGTTTATAATAAGAGAAGCTGTGTTCTTTAGTACCTCAAATACTAAGATCTTCCTCATAATCCATCATTTTTTAAAACAATGTTCGATTTAAAATTTGAAACACAGCCTTCACACCCTCTGCCAGGAATACAAAATGAAGTGAGCAATAATGAAGAAAACCTTTTTAATCAAGTACTTCTTTCTGCCCCTGTGTTGGGCTTTATTCATGTGCCTGTAAACTCATGGGGACTCTAAACAGCATGATCAGAACACTTGTACCAGGCATTCCAAACAATCATTGCATCCTCAGTTCCCCTAGATGTGCAGCTTGAGGAAAAATGAGCTAAGGTATAGATGCAAATCACTCTTTTAAGTATGACTTTGCATGTACTGTACACCAAACCTTTTTGCTATTTAGAGAATATACTATTCATAGACCTTTGGATTATAATGTTGAAAGCCACCCTCAAGCAATTACTTAAATATTGAAAAAATACTTATAGGTTAAAACTGCAAGACCGTTACAATCTTGCAGAGAATAGCACTATTTAAAGCGCAGTTTATACCGGAATTAAAACTTTATACTGAATTTTAATTAGGACACAATGGGTCTTATTGCTGCAACATATCCTTGACCCATTTATTGTCTTTGCAGTTATAAAAGGTGTTTTGGACTTGAGCCAAATGATGTAATGTATAAAAAAAGCATTTTGATACCTTAGGCTACTATTTGTATATTTTGACAAGCATTTATAAATTACATTTAAAAACTGCAATGCTGTTTGTATCCACACTGTGCTCAGCTACAGCACAGGCATCCTGGCTTCCACACTTGAGTCAACAGGAGTATCCAATTTGCTTAATACTACTATATTTAATTAAGTTATTTAGACTTAACCTCTTATATACTGTAGCCTGCAAAGCCATTTTGTTTTTTTTATCATACAGAGCTCTAAAATAATTTAAATTATTGTTTTAATGTTTTTGGATCTCACTGCTGTCTGAAACACAGCTTATTCTTCAACTTCGATCTGACTGAATGTGCTACCATGTATAAACCAGCAAGATAGATTCATTTTCCTAAGAGGAAAGGTAACAGTGGTGTCAGGCAGAGAAGACACTCTCCACCTGATATTCAGAGTTTTTCTACCTACCATTAAACAGATGCTTGGCAAATAAAACAACCTACTTTGAAAAGGATTTTATACATCTAAGTATGCATGAAGTTTACATCAGTAAATGATAATTTCTACTTAAGTGTCTAATTATACATTAACCCCATCTCCCTAACCAGCTTTGAGCAGATACTGTATAGGCACTATCCTTTGAGACTCCCTTCCCATTGTGACACACAGCACAAACAGCAGGACTGGTGTCCACCTTAGGAAAGACCTCATTGATAATCACACCCATCTTTGTTAGCCAGTCACTACGGGACACAATTGTGCAGCAACTTGAGAATTTCCCCAATACAATAGAGCAGCCAAACATGATCATATGATGAGGACAGTTATACCTTCTGTCAGATTAGTGGCTTCTTACTATCCTCATGGTATCATACTAGGCTTATGATTTTATTTTTTTTATTTCTATTATTACAATGACAAGTTGAAAGTTTTAATACATTTAAAAACAGTTTCTAAGAACTATCAGAATGACTGTGAATGAATTCAGTACAATCTTTTAGAAACTATCATTTAACTAAAACATTTTCTACTAGAAAGCGGATTAGCGTAACAAATACCCAAACGTCAGATGCAAAATCTAAACATACAATTTTCTAATCTAAACAGCAAAATGGTCATTTATTGTAACAGACAAGCATAAATAACTGAAATTTTCATTGAATTATCTTGGTCATCGTCAAAGCTGAAAGAAAAAAACCATTCAATATGAATGGTCAAATTAAACTTGGTAGAGATATCTAATACACTTTATCAATACCATATACTGTATATTCTCACCTCTTGAAATATTTTATTAAGAAATGTATATGGTTACAAATCTCAAAGTAAAAGCAGTTTGTGTAAAATCATGTGCAATAGGTGACAATGATGTGCAGTTGTGCTGAGCTCCCAAACTTCATTGTGTACCTACCTTACCAGTGATGTCATTCACAGCTACATGAACAAAGATGGAAGCCTCTTCCATACCTTCTAAATAAACATGCCGGTAACCTGAAAGTACAGATGGATGTTTAGCATTTAAGGGTGTTATTTAAATATATTCAGTGAAATAATACAGAATAATAACCTTTATTTCACATTCACAGTGTGAAACAGTAAATCATCTCAAGATAATTTACAACAAGGCAGACAAAACAGACGGGTCTAGACAAAAAATATAGGGATTTAAAAAAAAACCTAGAGTATGGAAATAATTTTAAAGACCAGTAGCGCTGCCGACTCAGATTAGCAAACCCAAAATTAAAATTAGGTAGGCCAGTATTAATGATAATTATGATCTACATTAACAACCACAATAAGTTAGCTGATTATCTTGGCAAGCTGTAACCTATTGTGGAAGCATGTGTGTGATACACTGTCTGGGTACACTGCTATATCATGATGGTAGATAGGACATGAACATAATGATAAAGTGATCTTGACCCAGTATTTCAACAGTATTGAACAGTTCTTTCTTATTACTTCAGGGGATACTGTATGTCTTCCTTAAAGGTTTTTTTTTCCTTTATTCATTCTGCCAGTAAGAACAACAATTTCGTCTTTATGAATTGAAGCCTCAACATGTTAAAGACACAATTGTTTTGCCGAAGTCGAACTGCAGGAACGTTTGCACAGACTAATAGCAGCCAATGCACCTGGCATGATGCTGTTAAAAGCTATTGTCCTTTGCCCAATGAAGTCTCTGCCAATTGGGTCATGATCCCACACCAGGAAGCGAACCAGAGCTATTTCAGGCATGTGAAGAGTGAATACCAAAGTCTCCTCCCACATGGGGTTAAAACCTGTTGTGGAAAAAGAGATAAAAGCAGGATTTTTTTTATTGCAATAAAAAAACAAAACATTTACAATTGTGATTGTTAAATTTAATTCAATATCTTTAGACAAACACAGATACAGTACATCATTATCAACAGTAAGGAACAGGGGTCACAAATTTAAGCTACAGGGCAGTGCAATTAAAGCTATTTATTTTACATTATAAGTTGTGAGAAGCTGGAACAAGCTACCGAGCCACAATCCTAAAGCTGATTATCTGGCTTCTTCCAAGACACAGTTGTATGATATCCTTGGATCAATAAATTACAAAAAAAAAACATATGAGCAAGAGATTGCCCCAACTGCTCCTATTTTGTAACCATTCTTATATTCCTACATGACTAAATCCCTGCCATGAAAACAAGGCTAATGGAAGCCTACCAGCTAGATGGAATGAGCCAAGAAATTATGAGTTTTTACATTTAAGGCCTACTGCTTTTAATGAAATGGCCCAGCCTTTGTAGATTTTTACCTGTGTCGCTAGGTAACAAAACCAACCTGAGACTCACCATTATCATCCACCACTCTTGTCTGCTCCTTACAGCAGTCAGCAGGTAATCCTATTATCTCGACCTCCACAAAGGGGTCGATAATCTGCAACACAGGCATCACACAGTGACTAGAAGTGACATGACAGCATCACCAGCAGTGGGAACAAACTTTAATGTACAAAATCTTTACAATTCAATGAAAAATCAAATGTGACAAAACAAAGTTAGTCTTTTTTTAGGTCTATGGTGTCATGAACAAAGCCCTGCTGAAAAAGAAATGAGCAAGAAAAATGTTGGGATACACTCTTAGAAGTTTCATTGCAAAATGGTTGGTTGGTGGTTCATGATCTGGCTGCTGATGGTGCTGTTACACTTTGTGCGAGGTACAGTACTTCACTGCAGATCCTCCAGCTTTATAAGGGGGGACCTGCATTGTTGGGGGTTAGTCCTTAGGATGGACCAGTCTGGGCACGGCGTCACATCTTGTTTGCCATCAAACTCTGGCTTTGATATGGAAAATACCTTACAGTAAACATGTTGTACCACTGTGTACTGTTTACTTTAGTACTGAGAAGCAGCTGTTCGGCTTTTGCGGCTGTTATAAATAAATATTTTGCTTGTGAATGTTTGATATGTTTTATGTGTCTAAGTCACAAAGATTAGCTAAATTCCAGGGGGATATGAAGCCTGATTAATAACTAAGTTATTCTAGATTTAACGAACTTGGCTTCACACTGTAAAAAAAAAACCTCACTGGTAATAATAAATTGGTAACGCATGCGTTTACTGCTGCCATGATTTGCCAATACATCAGCTGGTAATCATATTTTTCATAGATTCAAGAGTATTTACTATCTACTTTTGATTTCCGGGTAATTACCTCTCCCCTGTCTCCTAGCATGGAGTCCTTAGGCTTGGGAAGCTGTTGTCCACTGATTACCCTCAGAACCAGCTGTTTCTTCATCAGACCTGGCAGAGGGTCCTCTAGCATTGGGTTAAAGGCACCTATGGGGTGAAGAAAAATAGTAGTGTACCAATACAGCCAGTACAACATATTCTACTGCCTTGATGGGAACACAATGCAAAGAGCTCATCTCACCTTCACACATGCACTTGGGCTTCAATATGTACCCACAATTCCCATTGCTGTAAAACTTGGCCCGATTCAGTTGTAATACGCGTCCCTCCGACTGGTAGTTGAGGGCAACTGTGCAGACAAATCAATACAACAATGTATAAAATGAAATTACACCTATTTTCTACATAAAGATCCCCCGAAATAAGGTCTAAAGGAATGCCGTATTTATCAGCCACACTGAAGTAAAGGTTTAGTGCTAGGGCAAATGGCAGCCATTGAGTGACAAACTCTAATGACAGTGCATGATGAAAGGTTAGAGAGGTCCCACTGTAATCTATGGCTATATATTAGGTTGGTGACCACACATGAACAGCACTGCCTCCCCTGCTCCAAAAGCAAATCACTTTCTCTTCTCACTTTCGAGAGCAGAATTATTTGGCATTTCTAAAAACACAATAAAAATGAGGGTATGGCCTGAGTTAACACTTAACTTACCTTATTGAACCTAGTTATCAGTAATAGGGGATTCTGTCTCCTGGTTCTATATGATTATATTTTAACACTTTATATGCAGCTTTATTGCTAACAATTCCAAAAACATATCGACACAACCAGGTCTCTGACCAGCAAAATCACCCTGGAACTGTACTGCAGGCCTGTTGTCTCAAAATGTATTAAATGATATGGAGAGCTGCACCTGATTCAAATGCAAGGCAAAAGTACACAAATAATTGACAATTCATTTAAATAAATTATTTAAGAATCATTTAAACTATTTAATAATAACAAGACACTTATGTAGCAGTGTCACTTTTGGACACGGTTGGATTTAATAGCGGGTTCGCCCAAAGTTAAGAAGCAGCAGAAGGGCAATGTGATGCAGCAGATCCCTACCCAGGTGGCACCCCGCGTTCCAGAAGGGCTGGGGGTTGTAGTTGCTGGAGTCGACGCGGTAGGAGGAGGGGTAGATGCGGGACAGCTGCCGCTGGTTGAAGTGGATGAAATGGGCTGGTTTCTGCTGCATAATCTGGTGGGCCTTGGTCTCGCTGAGGGAGGAGACCTGCCAGCTGGACGTCACTGGGGAAAAAAGAAGAGAGATGAGCTGTGCCACCACTGCACAGGAAATGAGGGCTACTGCAAACACGACTGTGTTAAAAGCAGCAGAGTTTCTTATTACACTTCTGGTGAACCCTGGTAACAGACCTACACCACGTGCACGGTCATCGGTCTTGTGGACTGAAGAAGTTTTTCTTTCATTTTAGAAACTTAGAAATTGGCAGAAACTCTACTAAAAATTTACTTTTACATTTATGATGGTGCTGTAAAGAAATTGCATTGACAAACTGAAAATCCCTAGTTCTAAATGTGCCCACAGTATTTTGTACAATACTGGCCAGCATGTTTCTATCTCACCCTGAGTCTCGATGTCCTGGAGGCCAACAGACTTGGTGTATTTCACGAGGTCAGAGAGAGCACGGGAGAGCTTCATTGTCTTCTTCTGACGGGTTATCCTGATGAGAAGGAAGCCAGGATGAGGTTATTGCTTAGAGATAAAATTAAAGTTTACTGTTAAGGTGCGTTCAACCTTCCCAGTGCTAGGACTTCACCCTGAAGTTTAGATTTCTAGACTTAAAAGTAGGAGTAGAATGCTAAGAGCACTTACTGTACATGCAGTTGTATAAAAAAAAAAACTTAAGACAAAGGCTTGAGAAAAAAATCCACTAACCTCACAGGGAAACGATATGCCTGGATGCCTGTTTGTTCAGTTACTGTAACTGTGTGGAACAGGCATTATTATTTAAAAGCCTAAAACCATTTGGATCTTGTTTAATAGTTAAACTATTACTTTTCTTTGGCAGGTACATTTGGATACTCGCTGTTAGACAGCTACTGTAAGTAGGACAAGAACATTCAGGGGAAGACACTCAACAGGCAGACAAAGCAGACAAAGAGTGAGCTTGATGGTTATCTGCAAGTCAGGATGATGAGATCCCTCAAGGGTGAGTGCAGTATGATCCCCCTGTACCTGCTGTAGTGCACAGCCCCCCGGGACACACTGCTGGAGCTCTCCTGCTCATCGTCCTCGTCCTCAAAGCTAGATGACTTTTTCAGCTTTGCAGTTTTTTTCTTCAAAGAAAGAAACACAACAGTTTTAAGTCCTTTCCTCCACAAAGTTCAGGGCTTGCTGGGTTTCTAAAGGCAGAACATTGTCCAAAAAGTTAAACATCAAGCACAGCATGTTCTTTTTTGAGATGCACAGCAGTCAAAAATCTTGGCAAAAAAATCCCTTTCAAATGGGGCTGCTAGGAAGTGTGGAGAGCAAAAGGCTTAGATTCACAAAATCTCCTCAGTTCAACCTGCAGATGGAGGATTAGTCACACACAGCTGTGAGTGTCAGTGTCTGGCGATAAGCAGAAGGGCTCACCTTGCGTTTGGAGAAGCTGCCCATAAAGGACCGGCTTTGGCGCTTGTTGGTGCTGAGGCTGCTGTCTTCTCCAGGCTCTGCTCCATCCTCGCCTTTGCCCTGTGAGACAAGTCAGAGTGAGGGGCTCTGATCTGCACTGAGCCAGATCTGGCAAAACAGCCACAGTCTGCTGTCACTTCAAGCAGCTCACAGCAGACTCCCTTCAAAGAAAGGAAGTCTTTACAAATCCAAACCCATAGCAAATACCAAGCAGCAGCCTGCCTGCAGTTGAAAAAGCAAAGTACACGTTAACTGAAAATAAAATAAGATGCTTTTTGACGCAGCGCATTACAGATTTCTTCATTCAATATACAAGCGAAATTATAAACATTAAGAAAAAAGCATAGATTTTTAGTATGTGGTAGAAACCCCTAACCTAATTTACAAAATCTGACCAAACTCTTACAGTAAATGAAAACCTCAGATTATTGCACAGGAATATGTTTGGACACTAGAGGGTAGCAAACCCTTTAGCAACTGCTACTCAAGGGATAAAAACATTGTAGTGAGGCTTCAGTTGCATTCTAAGCTTCAGATTCGCAAAGTGCTTATATTGTTTTTTTTAACATCAGCCTTCAGGTTAACTCTATTTCTTGTTGCCCATTCCATGCGATAAAAACTTGAAGTCAGTTAAGAGTGATGATGGTGTGGATGCAAGATATTGTTTCTATATGGTGGCTTAAGACAGAGAACTCGAGTAGTAAAGAGCTACCTCTTACTGTCAGTGTTACCTTTTATCAAGGGGAAAATCAATTATCAAAACTACATACAGTATAAGGCTTGGAAGGAAATACAACACACTTTTTGTTTACTGCAGTTGCTTTCTTATTTGATCCCAATTGTACACATGAAAGCCTTCAAGCCTCTGTCTCTTGATACAGGGTTTAAGAACTGGACACGTTTAAATCTTAAATATGTTCATCAACTTTTTGAAAATAACATGAAAATAAGACATTAGAGCAACTGAGATCTGATCTCCTTTTACACAAGATGGATTTCTGTAGATGCATACAAATAAGACATATTTTCAAACACCCGAATTGGGTGAAATTAAAGGAACCTCTCTTAATTGAGAAATATTTCAAAACATATAGGAAAACCAATATCCAGTATATACTCAGCTTTAACTGAAATACTAAACATATCAAGGAAAATGGAATGGAAATTGCACCAAGAGATTAGTGATGAATGTTGGTCTGAGATAGCCAGATAGCCATTATGGTTGAAATTAATCTTAGTGCCACTAGCAATTGTTGTACACAAGAATGTTTTTGAAATATTTGTAACTTGTTTTTGTTATTGGGCTTGCGAATGAAAAGGAAAAATAATAAAAATTACGTTGCAAAAAAAAATCAATTCAGAAGAAACTCTATGCCCTCTGTTACAGCTTTTGGTGTCGACCTTTCTCAAATTCAAAGAAAAGTACATTTCAGCACACAAACCACCGTGAGGTCAGAGTACCATGCTACCTGTGTGGTGGTGTATTTAGGTTAAGCCCATAGCTGCATGAACATCACCATTTTAACTTGGGACATTAAAAAGAGCAAAAATGCTCTGAAATAAATGTGACCAAGCATCAATGAGCAGGAATTACTGTAATTGAAGTACACACCAGCAGGGAGGGAACTAATTGCATTCAGCCAGCTTCTTCAGGACACAAGACTAGCAGTGGTTATTCCTCAAGCTTATCTCATCCATTAGGAACCAATACTATAAGCACAGAGTCACCATATTTATATCCATCATCTTTTTCTCCTAAGTGGAGTGTAAAATAGACCATCGACGCACTGTGACACCTCATTCTTCTCCATTATTTCTGCCACAAAAGGGTGGCTGAGAGAGCCACCTTCCTAGCATTTTAATGAGCCAACAAAATTGCCTACCAATTTACTACTACATTTGTCGCATTAAGTGGCTTTAAAATGGGCCATTGTAAAACGATAAGAAAACAATACATCCAGGAGGACAATTCAGTGCAAGAGGATCTGAACTTAGTTGTTCAGATTAATCACTTTAAATGTCACAATTAATTATCTAGATATAACAACTAATGAGATACTTGCGTGTATGAGGCGCAATGTATATCTGACCCTTCCTATCTCAGCATGCTGGAGTTGTACTGTGCTTTAATACAAGGTATTAAGACAGCAGACAAACCACCACCACTGAACAGAATTCCTTCTTTACAATAAAATGCACATTCAACATTTGCAGTTTATCTTACCCCCTTCCATTTGTGTTGAGAGACTGTTTAAGAATTATAAAATGTATGACTATTGGCAAACACGATAGTTAAACCATTGGAAAACTCGGTACAAAAAAATAGCCAAAACAGAAGTAATATCATCGGAGAGATTGTGCTACACAAAAAATCCAGGAAAACGTTTTTTTACACTATTAACATCATTTCCAAAAGTATATCATGGTTCAGTACTACACAACTGCAATATGAGCAACTGATCGTCTTTATTATGAGATTTCTGAAGGTCCATTGTAGCCCATGATGTCCTGCATAAATACTGTACCAAGAGATCTCTACTGGCTAGGAATCAAGATTGCAGTCTGGTTTGCAAGAAAGTGATATTGATATTAATTTGAAAAGAGCTTAACAGAAATAATTACTACAAATAAATACCTATCCCTTGCATTTGAAATTGTCATCATTATTTTTCCTTCTAAATTACCAATGAGCAAAGGGCTAAAAGGAAAGAGTGTGATAACCTAATTTTAACGGTTCATTACCAGACTTGTAAAAGGCTGCTCATGCCTCGCTGCACTTTAAGCAGACTCAGTCCCTTCAATCACTACAGCAAATGCAAAATTATGCCAAATATTTGTCCTTATTACAGGGAAAAGCCAGAAGATTGACACCATTAGTGGAGGCTAAATTAGACTGAAAATGAAGCCCATCTGCAATTAATGACATTCCGAGTCAAGTCTGGGTGTGAAAAGGATGGAGAAGTGTGCTTGGTGTTAACGCACCACACTCACTGCAAAAGAAGAATAAAAAAAGAAAAGGGAAGTAAAAAAAACAAGCCCAGGAGGCAGAATGTAGGAGCATGAGAAACATAAAACCCTAAACTTCTGAAAGGAATTAGAGACGATCAGTGCACTTATCATTCCTCACAGAAAATCATCTGCAAGTCAATATCAACATGAAACTGGCCCAACTATGCAAACTTTGCTGCATGTCTGTCCATCTACCTTCCAAAAGGCACGAATGAAACTATATTAAACCTTTACGTTTTTTACATCACTGCAGCAAAAGAACAAATGAGCTAAAAAAAGGTAAAGAATCTTTTTTCACAATGCGGCTTAAACAGCACTTTTAAATACATCTCAGGGGAGCTTTTTGCTTTAGTATATGCTTATTAATAAAATGCACACATCCGGGGCATGATTCAATCAAGTTCTTTTTCTAATGGGGCGTTGTACCGAATACATTCAAATACAAAAAACCTCCTTAAACTCATCTGTTGGAATTTACTTTAAAAATGGTTTTATAGATGTGTACTTGATGAATGGAAATGCGATTTGTTGCGTAGCAAATAAAGTTTATCCTTCGGTCAATACCGGTTGGACCAGTACTTGAAACGTAAGTGCAAATTAGAGACATTTTTGCAGAAACAGGAAAATGATTGAAAATGCAATGCAATGCACTGACTAACAAACAACCCTAATCAGATGGAACAGAATGAGGCGAGACAACTAATGCAGCACTCTGTATGCCTGTGCATAACAAGCAATAAGAAATTAGCAAGTTAGGTTACAGCCTGTAATGGCAGTGACGTGCTGTAATAAATGCTCTCTGCTGTGAAGATGATAAAGAATCACCACTCACCAGGTGCTTGTCTCCTGGAATTGGACTGCTTTTTTGCTAAAAGAGGAAGAAGGGATATTTTATTTAATTTCTCAAAGAAGCCGCAGCTGTAGAACTGAGAGGCGAGCAAAAACAAGCAGATTGGCCAAGCAGAAAAATGCAAAAAGGGCCCATTCAAGCATTCAAAGCAATATGGTTTTACGTCACAACCCATGATAGTCATGCACTTTCAAAAACTAAGAATCTCACTTCACGTCACTCCAAAATTCCAATCAGCATTTATTTACAGCTTTAAAGTGTTGGTTGAATGTTTGCTTTAACCAAAGTGTGACAGATGTCAGAAACATCTGAAAATACAGCCAAGAGAATCCAGCACTGTGAGGAGGAGAATCCATTGCAGAAGCTAATAAGTACCTGGAGTGAAAGTATGGATTATCAAGAGTGGAACTAGAAAGAAGCAGACTCTGAAACCAACAAACCCCAGACGCTAGCACTAGGGAGCAAGCATTCCCCTCTTCATTCAAGTGATACAATGTGGTCTCTCCTGGTGCTCAACTAAAATGCTGCAGATGTTTCATGCTTTCAGTCCCATGAAAATTTAATGTGGCAGATGACTGGGAAAGAGAGAATAACTCAGGGGTGTGTAAAAGCCCCCTGCAAGTGAAAATATAAGGAAAACACTACAAGCAGATGCAAAGAGCAGCAGCACAAAAAATTAAATTCCAGAACAGGCAAATAAAAAAATATTTTTACAACACCTGCACTACAAAGTTTGCTCAAGTACTGGAATGCTAGCTTAATTCAGAGATGGCAGCAGGCATGATTTAAATGCACAGAGGAAAAAAAAAAGATGTGAAAAGCAAGACAGCTTGCAAAAAAAAAAGAACAAGTACCTTTTTCAGGGAAGGTTTTTCACTAAGCTTTCCCGAAGGTGGCAGAGCTGCAATGGTGAAGCTGTCTGGATCTTCGCAATCCCGAATTTTTGACTCTTTCATCAGGGAGTCGAGCTTCTTTTTTGCCACATTCTCCACCTGTTTTCTGTTTACAGATGTCTGGGTGCAGAGACATGAGTGTGAGAAGGAAAACAACCCTTGCCAGCGAGCCAGCCAAGAAAGACGATACCAAAAATTTGAACATGCAAAAATCAAAAGGCTGGAAAAAATCCAAACAGGTACTGCATGGAAGAAAAGAAGTGTGAAGAATGACTGTGCTGGATATCTGCTTTTCATGAGGATGAGGAAAAACAACTCAACCCTCTTGTTCCATGTACATGAGCATGCAGCACAGGACACGAGAGAAAAATTTATATTGGCAAATAAGGAAAACCTTATTATGTTGGCAGAAAATAAATGCCCCGTATTTCAATGTGCATTAAATGGTTATAATTATTTGAATGACTACATCCTTTCATGCGGTCCTGTTACTGCACTGTCTACAACACACACACACAAAACAGCTTACTGGTATGGTGTACAAGGCCTTCAAAATAATTGAAAAACATGATATAGCACGTACAGTAATACTTATTATGTTTTGATATCAACATGCTAAAATGTACAGAACTAAGACAATGGGATGTTTGCAAGCAAAACTGATCAAGGGCTGGATTTTGTTTCTCAAAAGCAGGACATAAAAATGCAAGTTAAAGAGGGCCTCTGCATTTAGATCAAGCAAATCTGCATTGAGCAGATAATCCTGCATAAAGCACCAACACTTGAAATGCTTATTTGCATGTTGACATGGGGTTCCAAATTTGTGTGTTCTCTTCTGGAAGATCTGGTTAGGATTTCTTCAGAATCCTTTTGAAAATGGAGGTATGTTTGTTTTACATACGAAAGAGTTTGCTATTGTTTAAGAAACTATAATATAATTACAAAATTATATTGCCATTAAAAAGACATTTGTATCTCATAGTAAAGCCGAGATTCAGTATGCAAATGATTCAATATGCTGTAGATGCAGAATTGTTTTGTTAGCTTTCAAAATTGCAAAGGAACAGGTGATTTAAATAATTACTTTAACTCCACTTGCAACACTTGTAAATGAATAGTAGTTTTAAAAAGCATTTAGTCATGTACAATGCAAAATTGTGTAATGTCTGTATTTTCAAACACAAAAGGTCCAGCCATGTGATGAGTCAAAAGGAAAAGGTTTTCAAGGAGCTGCATGTCTTATCTCCATTATAAACATGACAAAGCAGTAAACCAATAACCTGATGGTGGTTAAATTGATCACTGGGCTTTTATGGAAAAGGTTGAAGACTCCCCACTTTCTTTTAGAGCAGTTACAAAATTAAACCAGCAGGTGGTGCTGTCATTCCAGACAACTGGCTATATTCACATTTATTAGTCAAGCGGATTAGGCAAATTGACTAAATAGTTATGGAAACAAGGTCAGGCTTAGGTTTTGCAAGATGTAAATCTGTTTTAAGAAGGAAGGAGCTCTTGGAATAATCATTCATAAGTCTTGTTTCCTAGTCTCATCACCTTTCAAAGAGCTTTATTCCTTCCTGAAAACAACAATTGAATGTACCTCATTATAAAGGAAAGGCTGCTGAGAGGGTTGATTTATGGAAGGTGGGAAAACACTTTGTTCCCACAAAACAGTCTAGAAAGGGCTGCAAAAGGTAATGAAAGTCACTTCATAAACTTAAAAATGTACCAGTTTGTAAATACAATAGAATTAAAAGTGAAAGCCCTGTTCCATCTGGCAAAAACTGAACTGATATGAATGAACTGAGTACACCAAAAGTTAAATATAATAGTAGGGTCAGCAGTTCTTTAGGAATTTCAATTGAAACTCAAAGTCTATGGCTTCTGCATTAAGGCAGTTGACTTTTGTAAAATAATTGTTAAATTGGACCTAGAAATACCAAGAATAAAAGGAGTAGTCAGTACTGACATACATTTCACTACCCTCTTTGCTTTGTCATTGTACCAACTTGTTCCATAAAGAATTAACAGCACACTTATGGGATTTACAGAGGCTTTGATTTAAAACAATCCCACCTTCCACACTCACTGTTCAGCAACTGCATATAAAAATCAAGTGGGATCTTTACCTTCAGAATTCCCTGGGGCTTTTTGTGTAGAGCCAATTGCATTTGAAGTGGTACTGGACAGTATGTAGGTGCACTGCTTCATAGCACACAGATCTGAATGTGAGCAGTGAGCAACAAAACAGCCATTTCATTTATAACACCACTAGCCACATCCAAAGTAATGTCCTTGAATAAAGCCTATTTATCAATCTCTTGTGAGAGGGTAATTTTTTTTGCTGCATTTTTAACATGCATCTCAATACTACCTTTGAACTTTGTTGAGGGCTTAATGCATTATGGATTTGCTTTCTATGGGTGTTACTAATACAAGTCCTTAGTATAATCTTGTTTATACAGTACCTTCCACTTCATATTAAGCATGCAACATTGGACAGAGAGAAAGAATGAGTAAGAACAAGTACATAAGAGCACAGAGTCTGTCATTGAAATAAATGCATGGCTGTGTAGAATACAAACCCTTCAAGGAAATGACAGCTTTGACACATTTGAAGATGACAGAAACAGAAGTACCGTAGCAGTTCAGTGTTAAACAAGACACTTAACAAAACATCTGGTAAAACAGTACAGTTCAGTTATATCTTGAATGCATCCTTCTGAGAGGACGTCAAAAGTAGGAGAAGAAAATCTCAATGCATGGTTGAATTTCTGCAAACATTTTCAAAGTGCCAACTACAAAAAGACAAAAGACCCATCTTTCTTGTCTCTCAGTTTGTTGACATAAATATGTAAGCCCAAACTACACTCTTCAATAAGCAATAAATAACACCACATCAAATTCATTTTTTTTCAGGCCACTAAAGGCAACACTAGAACCTCACCTACAGTATATTTTAAAGTGTTTTCCATTTTCATTAAAACTCCTGTCTGCTTCAAATCAACGCTCTTTGGAAGTATGGGAGCAAAAAACAAAGGGAATTAAAATAAGGGAAAATATTACTATTTTCTTTGGAAGAATAAACTGGAAGGCTGTTTAGTGATAGTTATTACTGAGCTCCCCCCACAACAGTCTCTGGCCTTACAAAACAAAGTACTGTAGGTGAAGACTTCAGAGAAGCAGCATTTCATTATAGTAAATTGATTCATGTGCTTATACAGTATATTCCCAAACATGGTACAGCTGGAAACTAATTATAAGATACATATATTTAACTGTTGCTTTTCCTGTCTCGAGAGCTATCTCCTGAGAGACTTCCTGACTCTGAGATTCAATTAAATTTAATGTAATTTAAATTAAATCCTAGTATAGCGAGGGAAGAAGGGATGAAGACATTGTCATGAATTCCAGTTCAATCTTAAGTTCTCACAAGCAAGGAAGCAAGAATGTCCCCTTTCATCATCTAAAATGTAATTAGCATTACTGCTCATTTAAATGTGTTAAAGAACATTTTTTTCTTGCATATTTTGACACAATACATTCCCCTCACATGGACGTTCTAAGAAATACTGATATTTTTAAACCAAATTTGGATATATTAAGATTTCCTGCAAGCCAGAAAGTACTGTACAGTGAGGTTATCAATGCTCATCAGTGAGGTAATCTCATCAATCTATAAAAAGGCCCAATAGGCCACATCTGATTCTTGATCAATACAGAGCTTCCTTCTGCTCTTCTAAAAATGATCATATTTTTCTGGGGAAGAGATTCATTTCAGAGAAAATGCCAAAGTGAAAAATGATCAGCAAAAATAAAAGCTTTCATTTTTCCCCCCCGAAAACTCAGGGAAAGAGCATTTTTATAAGCAACTGATGTCTTTATTTCCTTTTTGATCCCACTACTGATGGCAACGAGTATGAGGAAATCTATCTTTTTCAGCCTGTGGAAGGATTGCTTTCTGAAAGGATCACCTTTGAAAATAAAATCATGTAATACTGTACAGTCAAGATTGATGTTGCCTCTCTGTATCTCTCTTAAAACTGCAAGGGGAAAAACAAATGGTGTCTTTAATGATGCCAGAGGTTAAAATCCCATTACTGATTACGGAGTCTACTGAACCTGGACATTCAACATATTGACATACAGTATATGCACAAACAGGCAGGCTTAAGGTGAATGGGGCAGCTGTCACGATCACAACATTTCTGTGAAAGCACTGCCCTCACATCAGAACAAAGGCAAAAATGCAATTCTGTACTGTTTCAGACACCAACACCTACTTCCCTCCATGCAAGTTTAACCAAAGCAAATATACAAATAATTCAGCATGGATAACAACGACAGCTTGGCCTAAATTGAAATACTGAAATAATGAAATATTCAATAGCCTACATCAGAGCATGAGAAGAATCCCTTCTAATTCTTACAGTATGTACCGATGTGGACGCTTCAAGAAAAAAAATAAAGGATGATCTGAAATGATACCCAATGGCCCAATAATAATCAAAAAATGAACACTTCATAAATTCTACCCAATGGAGTAAAGAGAAACAATATTGAAAGTAAGTATTAACCTCCAGTAAAACTATCAGAACAAAAACTATAAGATCATTAGTTTGAAGATAAAATCCATCAGTACATAACTATTATGACAAAATTGTCACAATCTGCTCAAAACCAGGTAATAGTAGTTCCAGGTGGCAAATTACCCCACTCTGGTGACTTGCTGAAACAGAATACTTTCTTGCTCATCTGAATTTCATCTATTAAACTGATTGGTGACACATGCTAATTATAATGAAACCTTGTTAGGGAACTAATGAAGAAAATTAATGATATTGGCAGCTTTTATTGATATGGGCATGCACCTGTTTACAAAGCAAAAACAAGTTTGAATAAATCTTACATTCTCCACTTTAGTCCTAGAGAGCCTCAGTCCAGTAAAGTCTTATTGCATAAAGGTTAAGGCCACACATTGATCAGTTAAGCAAGTAATTTGCTCAATTCAGAAATTAAGAATTCTAGCCATTGATGGCTGCAGAGTTGTCTTACTCTTCCAAAAGATCTCTAAATGTCTTTATATAAAAAACATTACTCATTTAACTGATCACAAATCTTTTTACATACTGCATTTAGAAATTGATGATTTAATTGCTACCAATAAAACCTGCAGGATAGGGGCTCTCCAGGAGCAGAGGGAGATACACAATAGCTGAGTGAATTCCTGATCACAGTATTTCAGCCCTCTGCACATGTCATTTGGATGTCTGTGATATAGGTGTGTTTCAAACAAAGAAGTAACATCAGATGACACAGCCAGTCAAACTACATGGTAAGGCATTGAAGAAGTTATTTTTTTTTGTAATTCTGTCATCTCGAAGAATATCAACAGCCTCAACTTACATCTCCATTCATCAGTTTACAGTCATCCTCAATCTCATCTGCGCTGTCTTCATCCGATACATCACCTTCCTCTGCGTTCTCATCGATGTTAGGTGGGAGTTTCTTCCCCTGAGAGGTCAAATACACTTCACATCAGCATTCTTCCAGAAACGTGTATTTACACCAATTTATTTTAAATGCAGCAAACCCTCTGAAATAATCACAATTTTACAAACCTATTGTTTTCTTGAAGCCAACATTGAACTTACCTTTAATGAATGTTCTTACTGTTTTGATAAAGCTTTCCTGGTATATAAATTATACTCCAATGTTGAAAATAAAAGTCACACTGTCAGATGTATAATGGATATTCCACAAAACCTGCTCCTTTGGGTGCAAGATAAACTTCAATGTTTTTTTTTTGCATTTAACTAGCGTATTTGTGTGAAGTCAAATTATCCCATTTAATTGGCCAATCAGTCATATCTTTGGGAAGGTAAGCCATTATGTATACTGCACTAAGATAAAAAACATTAAATCATAGAAAAACACCTGAAACGACCACGAACATTCCAACCTGGACTTAAAAAATACAGATGACAATTACAGTACCTAGTGCTCAAGCATAGTATTGATTTATTATATTCCTGGAAGTAGAGACATAATGGAGCACAGGCTCATTAGGGAAATTTCAGGCTCAGGTACAGTTTAACATGATGACTGACATGAACATAATCGAATACCAGCTCATAACTTGTCAGGGGAAAAAAAAAAAAAGAAAGCAAACCCAATTCCAAAACCAGAACAGGTTGATGAGATTCCAATGTAATTGATCAATTTCAAAAATGACGTGGATCAATTCTGCAGTGTGACAAGGGACGTCTTATTTTGTCACCTTAGTTATAAATCACAGCCTTATAAAATGATGTTTTTCCACTTTGCCACAATCATCTTCAATCACTTTGTCAGCTGCTGTGAAACCCAAATGATATGTTAGAGTCTTCTGACCTCAGTAAAGGGTCTTCCAAGTGTCATAGCATAGTAGCAAGAATTTTCAAAATCTGTGCTATTTATGAAGGCATATACAGTAGGAGGCTGCAGCACCATACTAAGATATACAACTATTCTAACCACAAACCTCCTGCTGTTAGTTTGTACTAACCAATATTATAAATAAAGTTAATTTAGGGATTATTTAAGGAGCAATGAGGCTGTTCTAATTCACAAGCAGGCATGCTGTATTTTGTAAATGGGACTTATTTTAGGCTAATGTAAAATAATTTTCGAGGTACAGTAGATGTGCAAGTAAATATTCAAAAATGTAAGGCACTTTGGATAAACTCCTTAACCAATTACATTTATAGTTCTAGAACATAAGATTTTGTTTCAAAATGAAAATCTGAGTGACATCTGAAACCCAAGTGTGCAAAAATCCAAGCAGAGATCTTCAAGCTAATGGAATAAGTGACATCTAAAAGCAGTTCAGAGTTGCAGACATGACAACTTTAATTAAACTTCACATTTTCCTAGCAGGTTTCATGATTTTGTTTTCTATCTTCATGACTGGGCAGTGCTGTGGCATATATACAGTATTTTCAGTTTAAAAAGCCTGCCAGATATTTCACACCTTGTGGCTCTGATTAGCAGAAGTGAATGAAATGATTCATACCAGCCTTCCATCTATCAAGAGACAAGGTTCTGTTTTAATGTATTTCGTTGCACTGCTATGACAGATTCTTTGCAAGGTGAATATCTGAAAATGGTCAAATCCGAAAAGGTTCCTTTAGTCTCTCGATTTGCCACAGAAAAAACACTGCTTCCTATTTTACTGAGAATATGGTTACCAATCACACAAAGATTTGGGTGTGTTCAACTCAATTAGTGTTTTCAAATTCAATCCATACTTTTTTGTATTTAAATTTTACAGCATATATATATATACTTCAGAGCATCACTTAAAATGTTAAACTAACATTCTCTTGGGATTATTCTTCCTTGGAATAAGCTATAACCTCTACAATGGCAAAAAGAGTTGCTACTGTACAATATAGTTTGGTCATATGTAAAGTTCTACATCATAAATTGTTGAGGATTTGTATTCAACCTGACCATCAATCTTTGTAAGGCAAAGTTTTTCCGTTATTAACTGCTCCGAATATTTAAGAGTGATGCAATTGCAGATGAGTCACATGCTTTGAAAAAGTATGTACCAAAATTCAGTGCTACTACATACTCTCCTGCTGTGACTATGGCATACAATACCAGTGCTGCAACACATGTGAATGCTTAGGGATGCATGCAGCTCACAGAGTTCATGGTTTGTTCCTTGCTCACTGACCTATAACATGTACAGAACAATTTATCAAAACTACCCACTGCCCTACTTAAAATACACAGCTGAACACTGCCCCCTCTGGGAACAACGGTGTGTTGGTCCTCTTTTAGAACACCCTGTCTGTTCACTTCAGGTGGTGCTACTTTGCCCTACTTACATATATTGTCAAACCAGCAAGCATTAACACCAAAGGAAGACTGAATCTAATCAGCATTTCTTTTTTGTCATTTATGCCCTGGACACAGTCTTCTAAACAGTATTACCTTGACTAGAATTTTTCCTTTCAGGGTCTCGGGGGAAGGCAGAAGTCCAGACTCATCCATGCTGACTGAGGACAGATCCAGTTTTTCTCCCAAAACTTCAATTAAATACTGGGCCATCTTCTTCTGCTGAGGTACACTGCAATGGTTCTCTATAGACAGGATGACTGGGTATCTAGGAGAGGAAGATTTTTTATTAATATGTAAAAGCTTCCAGAAGCTGAAATGCATTTTTAAGTAAAAATAGACCTCAAGAGTAACTTTGACCAGTATAAGGAACGTACGAAATTCAGCCTAACTGGGTGTTATCTCCTGCACTCCTAATATTACCAGATCTGTCATGTTTTATAGCTTTACAGTACATGTTAATGCCCTGAAACGTTATCATGAGGAAAAAACAGCTTTACAATGGGCTAGGGTCATCCATAATCAAACTGCATCAAATGTGCAAAGAAAATCAGATGCTGCACTAACTTCTGTACTGCATGGACAGAACAAAGGGCATCTAATTCACATTAGCTGCTTTGTTAAGGATGTGGCCGTAGAAAATACACAATGTGTATTCTTTATGTTGTACACCAGTGGGCTGGTGATGTGTCCCAGGCAGGAATGTGTGTTATCTATGTTAACAGAGCTCCATCTTCACTTAGACAGCACTGAGCAACTTGACAGACTCATTATGAAGTCACCGGGTACATAATGCTTTGAGGGGAGATGCTTAAACCCTCTTAATAAGACTATTAATCAGAAAACCTGATGATTTCTTCACAGCTTTACTGTATATAGATTTGTTTGATTCATAAGATTATTCCTGACTCACCTAAAATTACTCTGTAAAAGACAGCAATGCGTTAAGAATATAATTTAGCCCTCAAAATTTGATCCACTCACATTATGCTGTATATCTTACTTTTCAAATCTGCAACTAGCCAAATTCAGTTTAAAAAGCTGAGCTAGAAAGCACTGTACCTGCTCAATCCCCAGTCATTCTAACACTACAATACTGTAGGTTGCAATTTGAAAACATGCATGTAGTTTTGGTGCCTTATATTAAATCCATATTGGCATTTGTGTGAAAGATTTATTTTGCACTTGAGTTACTTTTATCCATAACAGCTACAAAAATAAAAATCAATATTGTTCTAACCAATATTTTCACAGATTCTGTACTTAGTTCTCTGACTGGATAATGCGTTTTCTTCCAGGAGTTACACTCTAATTAAAATTTTAATTATTGAAAAATATAAGGTCTCCTGGAAACAAAAAATAAATCCTCAGAGAGCAAGACAAGCTAAAATTATATAAAGTAAAACAAAAAGCTCGTACACCAAAAATCCCTAAAACCAAAAAGGTCATAGCTTGAATCACCAATGTCTTTCCTTCATCTAATTCACATAATAGAATACATTTTTCAAAGATGAATAACTTGAAAAACATTATTATATAGCAATATTCAGTTGGATACTGAGTGAAGTACTCCTTTCAAATAGGAATGTTACTGCTTTTCATGAGCAGGTCCACACATGAGAAGAAGTTTCAATTCAAGAGTTCAAGAAAAAATAACTGATTTTTAAAAACCGCAAACACTGGTACCGAGATGAGAGAGAGAGAGAGGTTTCCAGCAGCTCTTGATATGCAGGCAGTGTAAACAGAGTACAGACAAAGGATCAGGATCACTCAGGTAAGATACCGACCCAGGACCCATTCTTCAGGTGCTTGACCTACCCTGCTATTTCACTGCATAACTCTAGGGAAGGAAGATGAATCCATATAACCGAACTACAAAATGGCAGGCTACAGAGAGCTTCCAATAACACTGCTCATTAACTGTGAAAAGCAAATGCACTTGTTTGGGATGTGGGCATTACACACTCACTGCAGATTCAGTTCACTAGGGTGCAAGACATAAAGCAATGTAAATCAAATTTCATCTACATATCTTATAAGGGAAACGGAACATTTCCAGAAATTAGGAAAATACATTTTTGTCCCTCCCTGTACTGTATGTATTATACTCAGGGAATAATATCCATATTACAAAATGGCTATGGCAGAATTCACACGGGTATTTAAAAGATGTCCAGAGACATACTCACGGGTTTTTTACAAAAGCATATTTGTTGATGGTTTCAATGACGTCTTTGAAAAGGATTTTTGAAGTTAAGGTGTAGCCATGGTGGACAATAGGTTCACCATCCTGGCCGTCCCAACAGTCCACTTTAAGAAAAACAGGAGAAGAGTTTAAAATGCATTTACTCCTTGAAAGAAGAAAAAAATCTCTATATTACCCCAAAAAAGTCACATTTTTAACATGCAGAACTAATCACAAGACAAATGCTACTGAGGTAGACCTCAGTTCAAAGCGTTCCTGAGCACTTTGTGACTTTCTGAAGACTTTCAAAAAGTAAAATAGTCCAGGGAAATGGGTACTTGTGAGGAACCCTTTCCAGGACGGGGCTGAAGGAAACTTGTCCTGAGGCCACTGCTCAATGAATTTCAATAAATACTGGAGGTTATACGAGTATGCTATTTTGAAGTTCTTCCTCCATTACAGTTGACGATTCTTAGGTCATGTGGAGGTTCCTGAATCCTTAGTGGAGAACATTCAGCCACACTGAACATGCCTTTTTGAAAAAGCACAATATCGGCAAGCTTCCACATTCTGGAGAAACAAGTGTCCTGGGAAAAGAAATCCATGGAGGGAAATTTTGAGGTGGAGAAGAAGTTTCACCCCCAAAAGATCTCGGCTCACCTTCCACACAGCGGCAGCCAGCCTGGAGTACCCAGGCGTACATGTCAACCCTCGACTGAGACATGAGCTGGTCTCCCATCAGGTATGTGTTGTGAGAGGAGGCAATGAAATAGTTGCACAGGGACTGGGTCATGTCCTGATTCACCTCATAATGGTCTGGGTTGAAGATATCCCCAGCAGGGCTGCGCATATAGTTGGTAAACCCTGGAAAGGCAAAAAAAAAAAGTAACAAACAAATCAATAAAAGCTGACATTAATCAATCAGTGCTGTCTAACTTGAGTGGAGTTATACTGTATTTCTAGGGATAGAAGTGTGGCAGAATTGGTTTCTTCACTATTCAATCAGGAAAAGTAATTGGACTTTTACTACAGAGTGTAAAGTAAAATGGAATACAAATATGATGGTTAAGTTATCCCTCCAAGGCATATTATAACAAACTGATTAAACAGGAGCTGGATTTGGGAAGTTCTGGGAACTGCAGCTTCTTACCATCAATCCCCAGGACTCCTTGACTCTGGTTCTCAGGACAAGGTTCAAACTTGTTCACAATCTCCAGGCAGTGTTCTTTTGTTACACTGGTCATCTATGGAAAAGTTAAAAAAAAAACACGTCAAAGCTGAATATTCACACTTGCTACCTGCAATGTTTTACGTTAGAAAAACAGAATTCTAACAGATAAGAATTAAAAACACAAAAAACAGCACATAATAAAGCTAAGCTTGAGACGAGTGTTCTCCCACACAATGTCTGCACTGCAATCTGATTTTCCACCCCAACAGCTGGCGTTTTTAAACAGCCGATTGGTCGATCAGATGCCTATCCTTGTCAATCAATGTCACATCTTTTAAGAGTCACATGGTGCCAGATGCTTAGCTTCACTCTCAATCTATTTTTTCACAATAGGTCAATCACTGGCATTGCTACGCCTAAAAGGGAACTTTGCTTAAGTAGCTTGGTGGGCTCCGCTGTTTACTTTCTGCAGCTCTAATTCTGAATTAAACTGTAACTTTAAAAATCAGCCCTACGTTAAATTTTTAACAGCAAGCAGATGACGATAAGCAAAAAAAACATAACCTTATTATGGTACGTGTATATTTTTACAATATATACAGGTATAGCTCCTTTCCCCTTCAACGGCAGTTAGAGAAAAGGAAGGATTTCCAAGGATTTATTTTCAGATGATGTCACAGATGAAAAACTACTCAACAAATTACAAACCAAGTCGCAGATTGTGGCTTCGTTTTGTGAAGAAGCTTGAAGCCACTGGCAAAACAAAACCATCCACAAGATATCAGGTTTGTAATTTGCAACTGTCAGGTGTGGTCAAAGTCTTGGGTCACGCTGAGCCAAAGTTTCATTCTGCTTTCCAAAGGAACACTAAACGGATTATATCCTTTCCTATTAGAATGAATGTAGTGAAATATGCTGCAGATTGTTTTTAATGCCATGCACATTACGGACCTTTATGTATAATTGTTTCATATTATACCAAAGGCAAAATTGTCATCTGGATTGTCTTGCACACTGTAGGATATTTTATTTAATTTGCATTTTGTAGAAATCAATGCTTTAGATTAAAAAAGAGAAAACACATACTTTAAAAGTAACAAGCTCTTAGGAAAGTTTTACAAAGGGCACAGCTGTTAATTGCTAATTTTGAAAAAGCAATGAAATAACCCTCAGAAATAACACATTTTGCATTAAGATGTTATAAAATAACCTCATTTGATAACCCTAACAAAACAGGGTTTAATGATAAAAGATATCCCAGCTAGTCCCTGACAAGTTTTAAATTGAATTTACTTATATTAACATTAAAGAGAATCTTAATTAGAAGCATAGTGTGCGATTCAGAAAGTCAACAAACAATATCCATGTGCCCTGTTTAACACAGTTAAACAGAACCTTACAGGTAGGGTGACAGTAACAGTATTCCATTGAGTACAGAGAGCTTACAATTTACACAGTATATTGTATAACAACAATCAGAATAATTCAGAATCTGTTTCAAAGTCTGATTCTGACATGAAAAAGACAGGTGTAGTTTCCAGTGTCTAAAGTAATAAACCGTACCTTTTAATGGCAAGATATTCTAATCAGTATTGGTCAAAGTGGTAAAATATCACTATATATAAAAGGTATTTTTAACTCCTTCAGTCTCTCTCTATTTTTTTTTTATCTGAACATTTTAAAAAGTTCAAAATGTTCATTTGTCTTTTCTTTTCACTCCTCAATCATGTGGGATTGATTTAAAAAATCCACTGAATTAATTGCAAATGAGAAAGCAGTTTTAAAATCTACTTTCAAAGTTTTCAGAGGAAGAAGGAAGAAGGAATCAAACAATGATGCTTCTCATTATTTTGGCTGGTCCTCAGAGCATGAAAACCACCACTAATGATCTTCCTTTTGTAACTTTGTTTTCTTCAAATGCTTGCCATCCTCTATAAAAGTTAACAAATGGCAGAACTAGAAACAGCCCACTGAATGCATTTTTAGCAATTTGGTAAACTAATGACCCATGTGCAGCCCAACAGGACTTTCATGCTAACATTACAATATACAATTTTGTGTTTATAGAGGAATCACTAAAACTGGGGCTATTTTGTTTACGCTGCCACAATAGCCTTTATATTGATGCAATGTGACAACGCTAATTGAAATGGTCTTTGAGGCTTAAGCAGTAGCACTTAGCCTTTGGTATAAAGCAATTCTTAAGTCGCAGGGAATCACTCCAGTGGTAAATCAGTGACAGGCCTGTAATACATCCTGTTTTATTATGCCCTAAAGAATCTAAACTAAATGGGAAATTCATCACCTTCTAGCCATCACTAGACAGTGGGAAATTTAAACAATGAGCATATTAGGTCATTTAATATGGCAGGAGTATTCTAAACGTTTCAATATGAGATGCGTGCATTATGATGTGATAAATGATCACATTTGGTTGTCAGGACACCAATACATTCTACCTATTGTTTTGGATTTTATCCTAAAATTAATGTAAAACATCTACCAATCTAAAAAGTTCTATGTATAGCAATGTTGTAATGGCCCTATTCCTTGTACCACATTAAAAAGCTGCATACATAAGCTTCCTAATAGTTGTGGCTCAGCAATTCTAAACCACATTAGGATAAAGAGCTTAGCTTCCTCTGGAATGTAAAGTTTTATTCTTTAAACCTCCTAATGTACACATATATATATAATTGGCAAGAGGAACATATTAAACACATTAAACATCACTGAATTGAGCCAAGCAGCTATGACAAGATAACACAATTGGGAAATTAAAACAATTAGGCAAACAAAAACAGTTATGTGAATACTGTATGTGCACATCTTACAAAGTGTATAAAAAGGCAAAGGTTTAAAATCCTTAATTTCAAGGAGAAATAAAAAACATTAACCTAGCCAATGGAATTATATTCACTATACCTTGAATTAACAGCCAGTGAGAACCGTGTCGAACAAAATTAAGATGAAATGTGCAGTGATATACCTGAAAATTCCCAGTGCAACAGAGGTAATTATAGTTTTAGTCACAGGCTGCCATGTGATGCAACTCCGATGTGCAGTCACCACAGAACTGCGAAACAGAGTCAAGGTGAGGGAAAAGAATTCTAACGAGCCACATGCACAAAATGGTGTACAAAACAGGGGCAGTGCGTTAGCTCTGCGGCTCAGGATCTGCGCCTTTAGCTGGAAGGTTATCGGTTCATATCCCGTGGCTGGCAGAGGACTCCTGAGCAAGGCCCTTAACCCCAGGTGCTCCAGGTTGGCTGACCCTGCACTCTGACCCCAAGCTTCTCTACCTGTCTGTGCATCACATGGAGAGCAAGTTGGGGTATGTGAAAAGACAAGTTCCTAATACAAAAAATTGCATATGGCCAATAAATTGATCTTATCTTATCTAAATGACAGAAGCCTAAGTACTACTGCAATGTACCTCTTTCAATGACATTGGACTGAGGTGAGCTGCTCTGAAAAAGTGGCCTAAAAAATGGCTATATAAAGAACAAATATAAAGAACAAATGTACATCTTAAGAGTAACTTCTAAGCATGCTTGAAAATACATACATATCCATATAGTACTGATACCTTCTAGAGTACTGTATGTCTAATAATGTGCACATACACATAAGATTACATATACTTTTATATTTGTACAAGGCTTCAATAAAAAACACAGGACATTTCAGACAAAATAATTTTTTCAGCTGTAAGCAGTGAAAGCAGTAAGCTTTTTGCTGTTAAAAAAGATGCGAAAATAGGTAGACTTTCCTACTCAATTGCACCCAAATGCACAGCTGTTTCTGTAAGACTAGGGAACTGTTTTGTGCCTCTATTTTTCAGCAAACCTCTCTCTAAGCCAAGACTCAAGAAGATATGCACATGAATGCTGTTAATCATAGGAGATGATACTGTTGGCTAAAAAGGGGGTTTCCTATCCTTCCAGTTTAGGATTTCAAATGCATGTTATTGAGAGAGGAATGACAGCCTGATCTAAAATTCTACACGCAATAAGAGAGTGCATGCATCTTAATCCACCCTCAAGCTCCTATCCTATCAATCTATTGGTGTTGCAGTCACTTTTCTTAACTGTTATCTTCTGCACTAAGTGAAGTCTCAGGGAGACTGCATGTAAATGTTCTGTTAGAAAAGGGTGCCCCACCCTTGTCAGGTCTAAGAGATGACTAGCTTCTCTGGGATTCCTGTCCAAAAATGACATCTGAAGGATCTTCTGCATAGCTGTTTAAAACTAGCATAAACACCTTGACACGTCTTTGTCAGTTTTTACACCTGTTAAAACACTTGTTACCTGACTACTGTAAGTTCCTGTCTGTCGCACTCAGAGTTAGAAAATATCAAAACATAACCCAAAAAAACATTTGGGAATCAAAACCAGTATAACAAGGGGATTTTGATTTTACAGATTAGGGAAATTCTTTTCAAAATGTAAATTCAAGGTGGAGGGGATTTCAATCCAGTTTTCCCATAAGGGCTTTTAGAGTCTTTGAAATTTAATAACGTCCTTTGTATTACACAGTAAAACAAGTTATTTATAAGTCTTCAATAGTACCAGCCTTGCTACAGTATGTGCAGAGTTTCAAGTTTCCTAGCAGGCCCAGAATGTGTGATGTATCTCCAGTACTGCAATTGCCTGTCAGTCACAATGCTACACAGTGGCAGACAGAGAAAGCTACACCTGTTTTTTAGGATTCAGTGAGAGACTGGTCCCCACCTCATGGCTCCAATCTCCCTGAACCTCCCTGTCATCATCTTTATTTAAACTCTCGTGTCCTTTTTTTATTATAACTCAAGACACTACTCTGGATAGTTCACCTTTCTGAAGACAGAAATAAGAGCAATTTTCTGTCTTAAGAGCAGGTGCTTTATTCCAAGTTACAAGAAGGTTCTACAAAGCTTTATGAAAGGTTCTTTTGAGAGCTCTGCAACTCAGATTCTAGTTAAGACCCTTGACTGATCAGTTAAAGAAAAAAAGAAGTGGAAACAACGTGGAAGTGCACTTAAATCTGAGAACAGAAGACATGTCTTTTCCCAATGGGTTGTAGGAGTATGGAACAAATAACCCAACAATCTTGTCCAAGCTGATCGTGAGAAGAAGCTGGATGAGATCCTCGGATAGATTAGATACCAACTACTGAAAGGGACAGATGGGCTGAATGTCCTCCACTTGTTTGTTCCTTTCTTATGCTCTAATATATTAGTATCTTCTGCAGGAGCTGGCAGCATTTGATGATAAGTATCACAATACATGACGTGATTACTAAGTGTGCCTGATACCCAGAAACAAAACTCACAGGAATTCTAGAGAGATGAACAGTGTTTAATTTAGGGGTAATAGCTTTTGAAAATTACCCTCAGCATCTTTTTAAACACTGATTACAGCAATATTCCTGTCACGTTTGTTTCTCTAGACACATCTGAGGCAAATATAAATATGTTGACTGAACGAAATTCAATATTTCAGTGTTAAACTCATGAAGTGGCAATTCAAACCAAACCAGATATGCTGATGTGGTTAAATACTGGCAGCAATGTGTGTGAGAAGTTTATTTTAATAAGGCTAAGCTTAAATAATGCAAATTCTCTTTACCTGCACAGATTAAAGAAAACTATATGGACTGGCAGGGAAAACAAGACTTTTTCACATATCCACAGACTGCTTTTTCTAGTGGTTTCATAGACCCCAATCAGTAGTAATTTCAGATGACTGAATGTTAGTTCCAGCAAACAAAGTATGGAAGACACCCCGATAGACATTATTGTTATAGGCAATACAGTCTTATTTTAACCTTTATACATACATTGCTTTCAATGAATGACTTTCTGAAAGTTTCAAGCAGAAATTACAGCCATGAAATAAGAAAGAGCTTTTTGTCTATTTAATAATGATAGCCTAAAATTTAAACCTGCCAATTCAAAATTACTCAGCAATTCAGCTTTCTCAATGTTTCTCCATATCAACCTGCTCATGTATGTTTATATACGTAAATAACATTTATAATATATATTAGAAATGTATGAGAAATAGGATTTATATATATATAAACAGATTATTTTGCAGTTCGTGAAATGCAAAGCTCCAGGTTTATAACTAGGTGGGTTTTCAAAAGAAACGGCATTCCTCACTTTCCGTGGTCTTATTCTTTCAGATCAAGGCAGGGGAACCTGATCAACATGGACTTGAGCATATAATCATAATGTGATTTAGGATATGCCCCTAGCCAACTCTGTAGAAAAAGTCAAGGCAAATATGCATCACATATTCTGCTCTTAAACTACAGAGCCACTCTGCCAAAGTCAACAAGGTAACAAAAGCCCTGCTAAGTAAACTACAAGAAGCTTTTTTAAATGCACACTCTAATATATAGTACATTGTAATGATGAATATGCTTAAACATGTCATTGTTAATAACAACACAACTTTTAACAAGAATTTTAAAGACTTTTAACAATCCTGAGAGAACTGTACTAGTAAAACACTGTGTACTGGATGTCAATCGACAGTTTGTTTCCAACTCCTTCATTGTATAAAAACTTTCCTCCAGACTTGTGCCACAGCATTAGATCTTGTGGAAGTACTGACCTTTTGCTCAATCTCCAGGAAGCGGATCAGATCATCTGTGTCCAGGTGGTCCTTGTGGTTGCTGTAGGTGAGCATGAGCAGGTAGAGGTCCCTCCGCGTGGACATCATCTTGTAAAAAGCACAGAACTCCTCAAATCCCAGCGTGCCCTGGTTATCATCTGTATCTGCCTCCTAGAGAAAGTAATAATAATACTTAATATTAATTTCCTTACGTTTTTATATCACTTTTCTGGACACTCCACTCAAAGTACTTTACAGGTAATGGGGACTCACCTCCACCACCACCAATGTGCTGCCCCATCTGGGTGATGCGATGGCGGCCATAGTGTGCCAGTACACTTACCACCCACCAGCTATCAGTGAGGAGGTGAACAGAACGATGAAGCTTCATTTAAATTAAGCTTCAGTGGGTTGCCAATTGTGAGTTAAAGGTTGACATAGCTGCTGGCAAAGTGGGAAAAGATGTAATGGACAACCTCGACAAATACAAAATGAAATGCAGGATATTTCCAGAACACTTTACACCTGCTAAACAGCTTGGACATCTAAGATGAACCTAAGATCTGAAGATGAAATAAAGGGTATCTGAATGCTTTAAAAAGAAAAAAAAGAAAGGCATGCTTTAAAAGCTTCCCTTACCAAAAAGGGTACTATTCTCATTTAGGATGGAAGGCCAAAAAAGTTAGGAAATTTGCTCAGAACTGGTTTTGCAAATTGGTGAATCTTTTACCAGGCTTGAAAAATCAGGGCCCATGCTCAGAAAGCACCCGAGACATTTCAGGAAGAGTATCTTCAAAGATGTTAGAAATTGGCATGTGTTTTATTAATGAGGAACAAATAGAGGAGAATTCAATAATTGCAAAGCAGAAATAAAGAAGAAAAGTCATATTGGAAGAAGAAAAAAAGATGCCATAATATTATTTTGAACTTTAAGAAATGGATTAACCTCTACTTGCCCTTTTGTAGATTGGACCTTGACATACAGTAGCTCCCCACTCTTAACAGCTGTACTGGTAATTTAAATATGTCAGATTTTTACAAAACTCAGATGCATACTGTAGCAGGAGGTTCATCAGGAAGCTCAATATTTTATAGCCATGAGTTACCCTAAGGATGTTCCCTTAACCTTTATAATGAGACAATGACAGAACTGATAAAAACATCATGACCTCAGTGTTGTTACACCTGTAGGATTAAGTATAAAAAGTAATGGAAATCAATTTATTTTCAGCACTTTCCTGACCTACTGATGCGATCACTGCCAGAGCAAATATCGCTCCAAGTACTGCTATTTCCTAAGGCTGACAGTATCAAACTCACACCTTGTATTATAAATATTTGAAGAACACAGTTTGTTACATCAATCTACAGTTTGCTTTCCCGGTTGAACAGTGTTTGACATTTTCAGTGTAATGCTCTGACAGGAATTGGTAGCTTTATCTGTTGTGTTTTTGTGGCAATAACAATGGTCTAATGGCTCCCTACTGTATATGCAGTTCTGTTACTCAGGGAAGGTTACGCAAACATCACATCAAACAAGGATGTGTGAACTTTGACATTCAGTATATTCAACTTATTTCTCAAAAAATATCAGAATAGACCCTCAAAGAAACTTATGTAGGCTTCCATAAAGTTCTAAACTGAATACAAAAAAAATCAAAATGTTTGATTGCAATCTGTTGTAATCTGGACAGACTGAAAGCCAGAGTTAAGAGCTTATGTCCTGATTAACCCTTTAAAAGTCAACAAATGCATAGCAAGTTCATATTTGAAACCCTGGAGAACACTGCTGCTTTTTGAGATCAATGTTCTTGTATAGGAAAACAAATACAAGGATAAAATGGCTGCAATAAAAAAAGCACAGTATTGCTTTTCAGTATTGTACAGTACACAATGTTTGTGTAACCTTAGCACGATCATATTATTTTCCCTGCTCTTTGGAAAAAACGCCGTGGGACACATACATTTGCCAGGAATAGAAACCAAATCTACTCACCTGATGGATGGAAACTAAAGGAGAAATGTGCACCTGATCTCTATAGTAACAGCTCAGACTCACCACCTGAGAAATGTACACACTGGCCAGAGACCCCTAAAACCATTGACAGTTACAAATCCGCCGTGCGATAAGACTCACCCATACAGTATTCCTTTCAACTTAATGATAACAGCAGATCTCTGCCTGCACACAGTAAATTAATTTGCTGCAATGTACTGTATCTTCATTACTTTCTTGAGATCCAGATGCACCAAAGAGATGACACATTAGTAGCAGCCAGAAAACCCTCTGAACCAGTGGAAAACGGATTTTGAAACGGACTAAACCCCACTACATTGCTGACTAACATGGAAAATCTTTGACATTATACAGAATTCACCGTAAATTTAACTTTTATTTGTGACTGACATAGTGCTGCAACTTAAAAAAAGAAACCTCTGTAATTTCAGGAACACAAAATGCTATGAAGGGGGTCACTCCTGTGGCCTAGTCAATGAAGAACTAATTTTCTTACCACTTGTGATTTTCTTTGTCCCCCAATATTGACACCGACCTACGTCTAGAACAAACAGGCAACACACGAAACATTGGTCATAAAGCGATTGAAAACCATTTGGATATACAGTAGAAGGATGGATTCAACTGTTGTAATTCAGTTTTCTCTTATTCTAATATATTCAGCAAGGCAAAATTGCCATCCGATGAGCAACCCCAACTAAGAAACCCCTGGTTGAATACTGTACATTGACACAGTGCAACAGAACTGATGTGTTTTTGGAATATAATGTAATCCATTTCCTGACAGAGAAAAAGGAAAGGCAGATTTATCCATACACTATCTGACATTTATACAGCTTTCTAAATAATTAAAATATTAAATCATAAAAAAATAAAACTGCTTTTAGGCCTTCAAAATGCATAGCCACTGTTAAGGAAACTACTCCTGCATTTTTGTCATCATTTAAAACCAGGATAAAGATTACAAGCTTGATAATGTGGCTATTAAACTTATAAATATTAGAAAACGGAGAGCTTTGAACGCTAAAAAGAACACTGCAACTCTACATTGTAGATCTATACTTCATATCTTCGTTTCTGTCAAATCACAACTGCCAGAAATCATTTGGAGGTTCTGACTTTAATTATGACTGCTACAGCACAGACTACAAATAACCCACAAATTGCTCAGTGAACTGGAAGGAAGTGGCTTTGCTGTATAATGCTACATCACTCATCCAGAACTGTGCGACTGAAAACAATCAGAAACATTCCTAAACTCAGAATGCTTGACACTTTGAAATGGGGCTTTGGTAATATACTGAATGCGATTTACCTGGTGAAAAGTTACAGGATATGGTGGGCTATTCAGTTTAGGGAAGACACTAACTTTACAGATCACTAACCCACAACAGTATTCCTAAATGTGCTAGGAATTACTGACACAAAATGCGTTTCTCTCCCATTTACGAGTTTCAAAGATTCAGGCGATACCATGGTAAAACAGAAGGCTGTTCATCATGCCTGACGCATCTAGAGGTCACTCGGGACATTTAAAATGTTCTGCTTCAAGAAAGACAAAAATCTTGACGGAGCAGAAATTCAGATTCTCACCACAATAAAACTTAGAAACTGGAAAACAATAATAGAGAGAAAGGGTTTAAATGACTAGACAATGCAAAACTACTGTATACAAGTAGATTTTAAGTCCATTTCGAAAAGTAGGAATGAATAAAAAAACATTCTGGCTGTGGAGCCTTCTTCAGTTCACTCTTGAAAGAAATGTATTATTATAAGGCAAATGTGTCTTCAGAGTGCAAGGCATATTCTTATTATTGATAGAATATTTTGTCTTCCCTTTGAAGTGCAATATTTACCTCAGTTTATTCTTACCTCTTTTAGCTACTGTAATACTACTGTTAGTATTACATACAACTGAAGATTAAATGACTTTGAAGATCAGTGAAGATGAAATGTCACTGCAATCCACATGATAACAGATTTCAGCACAAACCTGGTTATGGTCAAAATTAAGTGTTGTTATAGGAGGCCAAAAGGCCTTTGCAAGGCTCATATCAGACATTGTTTCGATCCATATATTTCACTAAACAGGCCTTGTTTTTCTGGGGGGGAGGAAGGGGGAGGCCATTACAGGCAATCTTAAAATTCCATTAATTGTAAACTTGAAACAAAATGGTGGACGCAAGTATATTACATGCAATAGGAATTGGTTTTGTGTGTCATGAAGATGGAAATTGGTAAAGGTGAGTTTGTGCAGTACTGAGAATTGAAGGAAGTCTCTGCTAAGAGGACAGTGATGAAGCTAAGGTTCTTTAAAGGAGAAATTAAGAGCATTGAGAGGCTTACGAAGCTAAAGCCCCCAAGCCCAAGGCCCCCAAACGATTCGACACAAAAACATCCTGGACTTCACTCACTGAGACAGGACTGAGCAACAGTGGAAGCAGTGGCTTCTGCAGACTGTATTACCAAAGGATTATTACAACTGGAGCAAAGTGCTTACCGTGTATTAAAAGTACGGCCATCTGGAACAAATTAGACCATATGTGTTCCCCCATTAATTCTGAGCAAACTTAATGACAAGCAGCCAGTGGTGTTTAAAGACACAAGCTACAGAGGCATGGAAAAACAGAGAGATGACACCTGTCTGGGGGAGAAGATGGGAGAAGCAAAGCACAGCACATATTGTGATATCTGACAAACTTCAAAGGCCCCTCTGCTCCTCCTGTTTCTCAGCAAAATGCATGAGCAGGCACTAGCCAGCAGTCATGCAGAAAACTGTCTAAAGGTATTTCATACTGCTAAGAATGGACTTGACAAGCCTTCCTCTACTTTAGTCATCTATTTTTTTTAATAAATACAATTGGAAAAAAATATTAATGCACATAAAAATATAATTTTTAAAATTAATATTAAAATAATTTGAAACATTTACAAGATAATTTACAAGTGTTTTTTTCTAAGGGGTTTTCCAGATTTTCAGCTTTTTGTTCCCCTTGCAAATCTAGCAGCATGCCATCCCATCAAAATGGGATGGAATGCCCAGATCAACCTTACAAAAGCCCTGAATGTTTTGGTCACTTGTTTCTGCAACAGTCACTTCTATCCAAGTGCTGCTTGAAAGACAGTTTTCCCTTTCTTTGAGAATGTTTTTAAT